GTGCAAATCGAAAATTTGAGGGGGGGGGTTGCAAATGAAAAGTTCGAGGGGGGGGGGGGGTGCAAATCGAAAATTTGAGGGGGGGGGGTGCAAATGAAAAGTTCGAGGGGGGGGTGCAAATCGAAAATTTGCTCTCGAGGGGGCGCCAAATTGGAAGTATGTCCCCGGGCGCCGGGAAGGTCGCTACGCCTCTGTGTCCGCCTCCCGGAAAATGTTGACATACCCTCCCCCCCCCCTCCCCTCCCGGAGAAAAAAGTCTGAAAGAAACACTGGCCGACCTTGGACCTGTAATACCTACAGAAAAATAGAAACGTTGTTACCTTACACTACCGACGTTCTTAAAAGAACAAAAAAAAAAAAATCACAACAACAAACAACATCAACACCTTCTCAAATTAACGATAAAATACATTTTTTTTTAAAACCCCACCTTTAAAGCAGTTCCTCTTTCTCTTCTCATCCTATAGGTCTGGTCGTTGCTCACGTGATTCCCGTCAATAAAACATCACAGCTCATCAGCGTCTCAGTGCAGTAGGCGTGAGCCCAGCCTCTAATTGTAAGCTGATTATCAACAGCTTTCAACATACGCGCCGGATGTGATTAGAAACGCACACACATACACTTGCGCATGCGCTTGACGGTGTACAGGACTGAGCACGTCTACTGTACAAATTTCCCTTTTTTTTCCAAATAAACAAATATAATTCTTAAAAGAAAAAGAATTAATTATTTTCCAGATTAGATAACAAAATAAAAAGTGTTTGATTATAACAGATGTTTCTGTATATAATTAACTTTTAATGCATAACTTTTGAATTTTCTGGAGTTGAAAATAATTTTCAAATCAAAATAAAATAGATCAGGTCTAGATCATAGCTCAGAAGACTTAAATGTATATTATGAGTCTACTTATTGTAATATTTTCTTGTGGTTAGTTGGAGTAAAGTGACTGTTTCAAGTTTCATGGGATATTTTGTGATTCTGGAGTACAAGAAGTTGAGCTGAGGAATTTATTTCCGGACACCTCGGAAATATTGTTCCGTTCGTCAGCACCAATTCGTGGATTAATTTCAACAAGGGGCTAATTTTTTTTCAAAGAAGGATTGAAATGATTGAGTTTTCAATCATAGTATCTGTTTTCGACCTTCACCCTCAGACATGACCCTCGGGGGCAGGGTCAGACCACCCGCTTCCGGTTTGTGAAAAATATGGTGTGCCTTGGTGCTGTGTTGAGCCTTTTGTTTATGGCCGTGATCGACATGGGGTAAGTCATGTTTTCTCAGTCATTTAGTCATGTTGTCTCAGTCATGTTGTCTCAGTCATTAAGTCATGTTGTCTCAGTCATGTTGTCTCAGTCATTTAATCATGTTGTCTCAGTCATTTAGTCATGTTGTCTCAGTCATTAAGTCATGTTGTCTCAGTCATGTTGTCTCAGTCATTTAGTCATGTTGTCTCAATCTTTTAGTCATGTTGTCTCAGTCATGTTGTCTCAGTCATTAAGTGATGTTGTCTCAGTCATTTAGTCGTGTTGTCTCAGTCATTTAGTCATTTTGTCTCAGTCATGTTGTCTCAGTCATTTAGTCATTTTGTCTCAGTCATTTAGTCATGTTGTCTCAGTCATTTAGTCATGTTGTCTCAGTCATTTAGTCATGTTGTCTCAGTCATTTAGTCACGTTGTACCAGTCATTTAGTCACGTTGTACCAGTCATTTAGTCATGTGGTACCAGTCATTTAGTCATGTTGTACCAGTCATTTAGTCATGTTGTACCAGTCATTTAGTCATGTTGTACCAGTCATTTAGTCACGTTGTACCAGTCATTTAGTCATGTTGTACCAGTCATTTAGTCATGTTGTACCAGTCATTTAGTCACGTTGTACCAGTCATTTAGTCATGTTGTCATGTTGTCTCAGTCATTTAGTCACGTTGTACCAGTCATTTAGTCATGTTGTCATGTTGTCTCAGTCATTTAGTCACGTTGTCTCAGTCATTTAGTCACGTTGTACCAGTCATTTAGTCATGTGGTACCAGTCATTTAGTCACGTTGTACCAGTCATTTAGTCCTGTTGTACCAGTCATTTAGTCATGTTGTACCAGTCATTTAGTCATGTTGTACCAGTCATTTAGTCATGTTGTACCAGTCATTTAGTCATGTTGTACCAGTCATTTAGTCATGTTGTACCAGTCATTTAGTCACGTTGTACCAGTCATTTAGTCACGTTGTACCAGTCATTTAGTCATGTTGTACCAGTCATTTAGTCACGTTGTACCGGTCATTTAGTCACGTTGTACCAGTCATTTAGTCACGTTGTACCAGTCATTTAGTCACGTTGTACCAGTCATTTAGTCATGTTGTACCAGTCATTTAGTCATGTTGTACCAGTCATTTAGTCACGTTGTCATGTTGTCTCAGTCAATTAGTCATGTTGTCTCAGTCATTGAATCATGTTGTCTCAGTCATTTAGTCATGTTGTCTCAGTCAATTAGTCATGTTGTCTCAGTCATTTAGTCATGTTGTACCAGTCATTTAGTCATGTTGTCTCAGTCATTTACTAGTGTAGGAATTTGCAGTCAGAGAACTCTTTATAGTCCACATCATGAAGATGGTCAAGACTTAAGAATTCCACTTTATCAATTCTATTTTATCTATTCCACTTTATCAATTCCATTTTATCAATTCCATTTTATTTATTCCTTTTCATCAATTCCATTTATTAATTCCATTTTATCAATTCCATTTTATTAATTCCTTTTCATCAATTCCATTTATTAATTCCATTTTATCAATTCTATTTTATCTATTCTACTTTATCAATTCTATTATATTAAATTACCGACTTTTAAAATTCCACTTTATCAATTCTTTTGTTATAAATTCCATTTTATAAATTCCATTTTATCTATTCAAGTTTATTAATTCCATTCTATCATTTCCGTTCTACCAATTCTGTTTTGTCAATTCTATTAGATCAATTACCGATTTTTTAAAATTCCATTTTATCAATTATATGTTTATAAATTCCTTTTTATCAATTCCATTTTATCAATACAATTTTTCCTCTTGCTCACACGTAATAAAATAATTCAGAATCGAGAATACTTGTGCCGTGCAAATTTTGACTTTTCTCAAGGTGAAATAGCTGTACTGAAAATATCTATCTAAAACTATTACATATTAAAAACAACAACTAATATACCCCTATCTCCACTCCCTCCCCATCTAGAATCTCCACCAACAACATACTTCGTCTTAACATACGCAAAGAGCCTGTCCTCGACCCCAACACCGTGTGCAAAACCTACCCGGAACTGACGTCACAGCAGTACAACCTGTGCCGGAAGTTTCCTGACGTCACGGCGTCCGCCATCCAGGGCGTGCAGATTGCCGTCCACGAGTGCCAGTACCAGCTGCGGACACACCGCTGGAATTGTTCCAGTCTAGAGAAGAAGAACAAGAACCCCCACGCCAGTCCCATTTTGTCGAAAGGTCAGTTTCGTCGAATCAAAACCTCACACCAGTCCTATTTTATCTAAAGGTCAGTTTTGTTCAAATTCCAACCCCCTCTCCAGTCCCATTTTGTCGAAAGGTCAGTTGTGGTCGAAATCCACCCCCACGCCATTCCCATTTCGTCTTATTGTGAGTTTCGTCGAAATCTCTCACACGCCAGTTCTATTTTGTCTAAAGGTCGTTTTTGGTCGAACTCCAACCTCTAGGCCTGTCCCATTTTGGGGGTCATCCATAAATGACGTCATGCTTTTTTGGACGATTTTTACCTCCCATCTCCCCTCCGTCACACGTCGTCACAAAAAGCCTGACCCCTCCTCCCCTAAAATGAAATCACACCTCAGCCTACAACCCCCTCAAAATTGCAGTTGAAGTTTGTTTTAAACACCGATATTTTCCAAAATCTTGTCTGAACTCTGTCAAAATAGAGTCTCTTAATAATCAATTCCTATTACAATTTATTAAAAAACAATTTTCTAAAACGCAAAATAACGTCTAAAAACATTGCTTTTTATAATGCAAAAGTGTGACGTCGCACCATTTGAACTCCCCCCCCCCCTCCTCATTACACACCGTCACAAAATTACGGACCCCATTCCCCCCCCCCCCTACAAGTGTGACGTTATTCATGGACGACCCCTTTGTATAAAGGTTAGTTTTGGTCGAATTTACCCCTCGCCAGTCCCATTTTATCTAAAGTCAGTTTTCGTCGAATTTTATATCAACTCCAGTCCTATTTGTCTAAGGATCATTTTGGTCGAACCCACCAACGCTACTCCCATATTGTCTAAAAGTTAGTTTTTTTTATTTTGTTTTATTGTCACTTATGGTCTAATCTCGCCACTACGCCAGTTCCATTTTGTAAAATAATCAGTTTTAGTTGAATCTAACCCTCACGCCAGACCCATTTTATCGAAAATCAGTTTTGGTCGAATTCCATCCATGCCCATTTTTGTCTAAATGTCAGTTTCGGTCAAATCGCACTCATACTTCCATTCTTCCCAAGGGTCAGTTTTTCTCGAATTTTACCCACACGTTTGGAATTCATTCCCCCCTCCATCCCTCCCCTCCCTGCACGCCTTATCCATTCTGACTAAAGGTCAGTTTTGTTGAGTCCACCAAACCCACTCCCTTTCCCCTCCCCCCTCTTACGTCCATTCCATATTGTCTAAAAAGTAAGTATTGGTTTATATGCTGGCAAGTTTCATTTCACTTGAGTGTGCCGATCATATATTAATTAAGAGCAGTTTTTATTTAAAGTCGATAGCATACACTTTTTATTTATTTAGATGTCCTACATTTGATAGAGTACACTTTGTTTTAAAGTCATACAGTCATTGTGTCAGTCAATAGTACACTTTGTTATTGTCTAAATGTCCTACATTCGATAGCATACACTTTATATTTGTTTATACGTCACACATTCGATAGCATACACTTTGTATTTGTTTATACGTCATAGATTCGATAGCATACACTTTGTATTTGTTTATACGCCATACATTCGATAGCATACACTTTACTTAACATCCTTCCGTTGATGGCATACACTTTGTATTTGTTTAGACGTTCTACATTTGATAGTATACGCTTTGTTTAAATCCCTACTGTCGATAGCATACAATTTGTTTTTATTTAAACTTTCTACAGTCAGTAGCATACACTCTGTTATTGTCTAAACAACGTATAGTTGCTGCAATATCTTAAGGTTAATGGCTTATACTTGATTTAAACTTTCTACTGTCCATAGCATACACATAGCATACACTTGGTTTAAACGTCATAGAGTCGATAGCATACATCGTAAAGTTGCTGAAATTTCTTAAGATTGAAGGCATACACTTGATTTATACTTCCTACTGACGATAGCATACACACAGCATACTCTTGGTTTAAACTTCATACATTCGACAGCATACACTTTGTATTTGTTTAAGCATTCTACAGTCGATAGCTTCCACTTAGTTTAAAAGACATGCAGTCGATAACATACACTTGGTTTAAAAGTCCTAAACTTGATGGCATACACTTTGTATTTGTTTATACGTCATACATTCGATAGCATACACTTTGTATTTGTTTATACGTCATACATTCGATAGCATACACTTCGAATTTGTTTATACGTCATACATTCGATAGCATACATTTTTTATTTATTTATACGTCATACATTCAATAGCATACATTTTTTATTTATTTATACGTCATACATTCGATAGCATACACTTTGTATTTGTTTATACGTCATACATTCGATAGCATACACTTCGAATTTGTTTATACGTCATACATTCGATAGCATACACTTTGTATTTATTTATACGTCATACATTCGATAGCATACAATTTGTATTTATTTATACGTCATACATTCAATAGCATACATTTTTTATTTATTTATACGTCATACATTCGATAGCATACACTTTGTATTTGTTTATACGTCATACATTCGATAGCATACACTTTGTATTTGTTTATGCGTCATACATTCGATAGCATACAGTTTGTATTTGTACATACGTCATACATTCGATAGCATACACTTTGTATTTGTTTATACGTCATACATTCGATAGCATACACTTTGTATTTGTTTATACGTCATACATTTGATAGCATACACTTTGTATTTGTTTATACGTCATACATTCGATAGCATACACTTTGTATTTGTTTATACGTCATACATTCGATAGCATACACTTGACTTAAACATCCTACAGTTGAAGACATACACTTTATATTTGTTGAAACCACCAAACTATCTAACGCAACCACGTTTCCACTTAATTTATACAGAAGTTCAAAATACATTCATGGGCAGCACCAGAGGGCATCGGGCATTACCCCGGGGCAGCGCTCTATGAGTCACGGTCCCATAATCCTTTTTACCGTTTATCAATCCCTGCACTTGTTCTGCTTATATTTACAAACATCTCCCTCTTTTTCCGCCTTAAGCCGAGACTTCGTCCTTTTGCTGTTTCGTTGCGATCAAGTGGTTTGTACCGGATAGTCTTCGCGTTGGCCGCAGGTATTCGTCGAAACTACAAAAAAACGAAGGATACAGATGGACGTTTTTTTATGTTTATTTTGATACACCTTCCCCCAAAGTCAAGGCGAAGGTGAAAAGCTGTTGGGAGAGGTTATCTTGAAAGGGGCCATCTTGAAAATTTGGCACCGGTGCGTAGAAGGGAGCGCGAGGTGTTTGTGGAAATATAAGAGTTCAAAGACTTTGGGAGGATTCACTGAGTCTCGTCTCTATAAGGTACGCGCGAGATTTTCCAGAATTTTGTTTAAGTCGTCGAGTTTTTAAAGGTTGTTAAGGAAGATTAACTAAATCTCGTCAATATAAGGCACGTGCGAGATTTCAGAATTGTGTTTAAGTCGTCGAGTCTTTAAATGCTCTTAAGGAAGATTCACTAAATCTCGTCAATATAAGGCACGTGCGAGATTTCAGAATTTTGTTTAAGTCGTGAAGTCTTTGGAAGTTGTTTTTTTTTATGCGTCGCACTACAGTACGCACTAAAGTGCATCTTACCTATAAAAGTCTGCTATCATCAGATTCACACTCCCACGCCCCCACGCACCAACAACTTAAAACGGTCATTGCTCCCCCCCCCCCCCCCCCCCCACGCGATACAATAACAACTCAACTCTTTCTAAACGACAAGTCATTTCCCTTAGAACGTGGACAAAAATATAACAATGGAGGTACCGCCTGAGTGAATATAAACTCTTTAAAATCTATGGTTGATTTTTACAATATGAAACTTTAAGAGATGGTGTTTAGTGGAAATAAAATTGTGTAAAGTTGTATCTATTAAACATGTCCGTGTCGGTCGGGGGGAGGTGGGGGTAGTGGGTGATTGGGGACGATAAATCTGTTGTAATTTTGGAAAAATCCGTTCTTTAACATCCTTCAAACAAGCAGCTGACATCTATCGGAAATTATTCAGAGTTTCTTTCAGACATTACTTGAAGTAGGAGCAGCGTCTATCGAACCCCTCCCAAAAAGAAATAGGATTTATATACAAATTATATGCTTCAACCAGTGTCCACCCTACCACTACCACCCACCGCACTCCCGAAATATATATATATATATATATATATATATATATATATATATATATATATATATATACTTAAACATCATTTTTCGAATGCCCCCCCCCACCGCCCTCGTAAGTCTTAAATGCCCTTCCCCACACCAGAGAAAATGTCTAAAAGAAAAACTGAACATAGTTTGACAGTGTTAGCCTTTTGCCCACGTATTATCAGGTAATGACGGATTAAAAGAAACTGCTTCAACTTTTCTCTTTGCTTAAGTTCCTTGAACTTAATTGGCTTATAATTAAAATTAGAAGTGGTTGTTTTTTATGCATAGAGAACGAGACTAATCTAATTACCTAATAACTAATCTTCAGCTGTTAAAGTTCAAGGAGTAGAAGTATAAAATATGTTTTGATATTTAGCTCCTAAATCATGTCAAAGAAGTTAGATCAGTGGTTCTTACCCTTTTTTGATGTACCGAACCTCAACAGTTGTATATAAGCATGCACCGAACTCTTCATAGTTCTATCGTTTGCAATGACAAAATGCGATCGTGAATCATATGAGTCACGTGTGTGTCTTGACCTCCGCTGAACCCCTGAGATTGACTCAACAAAACCCCTGGGGCTCTATTGAACCGAGGTTGAGAACTACTATTCTCGATGTGTCAGTCAAATGCTTTCTTGCTGACGAAGCGAATAAAAAGTTCGTGTTTATGTTTACTATCATGGGTAGTTTACAGATGGTAAAACATGAACACACAACATTCACTACCTCAATCAGCTCTTACATAAGTGAAAAAAAAGTTGTTTATATTGCTGACCATGGTATTAACTACAATCGTCATTCTGGGACTTTATTGGATGAAGTTTACGAAAGGGAGTTAAGTACTGTTTAAATTAGAATTCTAAAGTTTGGTTTAGTAGCTTCCCTTTTCACATGGTTATTTAAAAATTCAATCCTACATTTCTCCCCCTTTCGCTCTCTCTCGCTCTCTATGTTTATTCACACACACACACACACAATATATATATATATATATATATATATATATATATATATATATATATATATATATATTTATTTATTTATTTATACATAAGCCTATAGACATATATAAATATGTCTATAACATATAAATATATATATAATTTATATAATAATCACATATTACAAATTTTAAAGCTATAAACTCTATACATGTGTATATGCATTTTTAACAGATACTTATGTACATAATATACTATACATTGCTGTATGTTAAGTAGGATTGAAGTCTCAGTAGAGAGTAATTTTTCCATTATTACAATAAATACAATCGAGGATGTATAACACTTTAATTAACCTGTCGACTAATTGGAACCTGCACCTCTCAGGCTACAGGGAGACAGCCTTCGCCTACGCCATCTCTGCGGCAGGTGTGACACACCAGGTGTCTCAGGCCTGTAGCATGGGCAAGTTGAAGTCTTGTGGCTGTGATATGAGTGTACATGGGCGGAAAGGTGAGTACGCCTTCAGCTCTCACTCTTCATATATATATATATATATATATATATATATATATATATATATATATATATATATATATATATAGCCTATATATATAGCCTATATATATAGCCTATATATATATATAGCCTATATATGTAACATATAATCCTATATATAACCCATTATAGCCTATATATAACATTATATATATATAGAGAGAGAGAGAGCCTATATATAACCTATATATAGTATAAATCTAAGAAATGTAATTATATATATATATATATATATATATATATATATATATATATATTTAATTATATTATATATATAATTATATATATATATATATATATTTAATTATATTATATATATATATATATATATATATATATATATATATATATATATATATGTATATATATATATATATATATATATATATATATATATAATTATATATATATATATATATATATATATATATATATATATATATATATATATATATATATATATATATATATATATATATATATATATATATATATATATATATATATATATATTGATATATACACGCAAACACCAGTTGGTATATATATATATACACACATTTGCATAGGCTATATAATTATAATTATATAATTATATATATATTTATATATATATGATTTCCTTTATACACATTTAAACACCAGTTCCCCTCTCTCGCAACCCTGGAAGTTTTAAATGCCCTCCCAAAACTCTCAAGTCCCCCCTCCCAGACATCAGTTAAAGAAACACTGGTTATAATTTATCTTATTCTGTTATTTGGTGTAGGTTGATGATTCAGAACCGTTTTGTATGACATTGATAAAATAATAGCGTACCCGCCATGCGCGTCGCTGCGGTCTCGGATGAAAATAAATTCAAGAACACTCGTTATAATAACATTTAAAGCGTCGTCTTGTATAACGTTTATAAGATATTATTGATTCGATTTTTTTAAAAAGTATAAACCTTTTTTCCTGTTTTATAAATATTCCTTAAGCGTGCTGAACCCTCGTTTTAAAACATTTCGTATACAAAAAACATAACTATCATGTAGTTGAATTAAAAAATACGCCACACCAACATGGGTTCGAACCTTTGTTAAACTACAATGCACTTGTATTTGCTTTTGTTCAGAAGACACGGACCGCAAGTTTGAGTGGGGAGGGTGCAGCCATAACATAGAGTTCGGTGCCAAATACGCCATGAAGTTCATGGACTACAAGGAAGACGCCAGAGATATTCACTCACAGATCAATATACATAACAACAGGGCCGGTCGATTGGTGAGTTAGATAGTGTTTGAGTGAGTGAATTGGTCAGTTTGATAGTGTTTGAGCGAGTAGACTGGGCAGTTAGATTGTGTTAATTTAGTAGACTCGTGGGTTAAATTAAGTATGGGTTAGGAATTTAATGATTTACATAGTGTTTTGGTTCGTATTTTGTTTCGTTTAGAGTTTGAGTTTAATTATTTATTTCTATTACCACGAACCCTATGTGAGTCTCGTATTCCCTGTGTTAATGTCTGCCATCATTAATTCTTTTGCGTTTCTTCTACTGAAAACTACAATCATTAACCCTGGGTATTCCTTAAATTGAAGTCTACCACCATCAACCCTTTCCATTCATTATATTTGTCTATTAACATTAACACTTTGTGCTCCCTATATTGAATTCTATCACCTTTAACCATTTAAATTCATTATATTTAAGTCTAGTAACATTAACCCTTTGTGCTCCATATATTGAAGTCTATCACCATTAACCCTTTACATTCCCTGTATTAAAGTCTAGTACCTTTAACATTTAACTCCCTATAATGTAGTCTACCACTATTAACTCTTAATATTCACTGTATAAAAGTCTACCACCTTTAATGTTTTATATTCCCTCATCCATTAACCCTTTATGTCTCATGTCTTGAAGGCCGTCATCAAAAACGTCCGCCAACAATGCAAGTGCCACGGAATGTCAGGATCCTGCGAGATTGAGACTTGCTGGAAGTCCGCGCCCGATTTCAGGAAAGTTGGAGAAGTCTTGAAGAGAAAATATGAGGTGGCCTCTAAGGTACAGGTAACGATCGTTTTGTTGGCATAAGCAGACAATTAAATAACAGACTTTGAAATGAGCAGACATTCAAATACCATAATTTGAAATAAGCAGATATTGAAATAGCCCCTACCGAAATGTGAAATAAGTAGACATTCAAATACCATAATTTAAAATAAGCAGACATTCAAATACCAGAATTTGAAATAAGCAGACGTTCAAAAACCAGAATTTGAAATAAGCAGACAGTCAAATACCAGAATTTGAAATAAGCAGACAGTCAAATACCAAAATTTGAAATAAGCAGACATTCAAATACCATACTTTGAATTTAGAAAACATTTGAACTATGAACACACTAAGAAAACCAGACAATTGAAAAAGGACAATTTACAACAAACGTCTATAGAGCAGATATAGTGAGATTTTGGTGTTTTTTTTTACCTCTGCATACGAAGGGATAGTGTGGTCAGTTGTATGCTCAGTAATTTTAATTTATCCTAACGACTTTGTTATCTGTAAGAGCTCAGGCGACTCAGTGACAGTCCACAGGCTCGTGCTTTGGAATCGAACACATTTCTTCTATGACAGCAGACGTGCGTCCCTACCCTACTACCACGTCTATCCAACACTTTTCCCTAATATTCAGGGGAAAACTTAAAATTATCAGCTACGATTAAATGTATACGAATTTGGACTTATAGTAAAATTTTTAAAAATAATTAAATAGTAATGTGTTGTATTGAAGTATTTGAAGTGCACAGATTATGTGTGAGCAGAGTTTCGGATAAGGCATCTCTTTAGGGTTGGGGGTAGGGATCCGCTCCCCCTCCCCCCACCCTTTTCGAACCACGTCTATAAAATTAAAATACCAAGTATATACTTCAGCCCACACCATGCCACGTAAATTTAAGTACCCTTCTCAGAAAATATGAAGTGTCACTCGGAGTAAAATGTCCGAAGGAAACACTATGTGAGAGTGGGCCTCATATTTTTTAAGTCTCATTGTTCATCGTGTAGCATCAAAAAAAAAAAAAGTTTCATAGTGCGTCAGACATTTCTATCTTTGTGCAGTCCCTTGGATTTTTTTGTGTGTGTGGGAGAATGGATCTTGCATACATATGGAAACAGATTTGATGATTCCTAAATGAACATTTGGGAAAATTTAATAGCCAGCCATCATGTGTTTCTTTCAGGCATCTACCACTCGACCACTTTGTATCCCGTATACTAATAAAGTGTGGTAAAATAATAAAACTAGTTTATTTGTTTAATAAAAATATTTTTCTTGTCCCTTCCGATACAGATTGACCTGACGAATGCCGCCGACGCCAGACTCTTCAAGCGCAACGGTCAAAAGCCCCAGAAGATGGACCTGCTGTTCTACGAGAAATCCCCCAACTACTGTGACCAAAACCCGACCGTCGACTCCCCCGGCACCATGGGCAGGTACTGCAACAAAAGTTCCGACGGTATCGATAACTGCGACACCCTGTGTTGTGGGCGTGGCTACAACACGCTCCGGGTCAAGAGGTCGGAGCGGTGCAACTGTAAATTCTACTGGTGCTGTTACGTGGAGTGCGAGGTGTGCACGGTGACTGAGTGGGTTACGGTGTGTAAATAAGTGACTCCGGGAGTTGGAGAGTTCGTTTTTTTGGTTGTTTTTTTTTTTTAACTGCGGAAGTTGAACTAAAAATAGAAATCGGAGTTTCACGGATTTTATTTTAAACTTCTGAAGGTGAATTAAAAATAGGAATCGGAATTTCACGAATTCTTGTATCACTGACGGCTCTATGGTCTACCAAGTTCGATAATAATTCTTGGATTTTAACTTGCTGGAATTGAACAAAAACAGAAATCGGTCTGTAAAATAAAGACATGGTCTTGGAAGAACTTTAAATCTTGGATTTTAACTGCTGAAGTTGAACTAAAAACTGAAATAGGAAATTCATGCATTGTGGTCTAATTAGCAGATCGCTGCTCAATAAAGACATGGTCTATGAAGTACGTTAAAATTACACATCCTTTACCATGGATAATTCAGTAAACAGACATGGTGGAAAAATATTTTGTATACTTTTTTTTTCACTTTTTATTAAGTGGGATATAGTGTAAAAAAAAAAAACAATAAAAGATATGCACCAGAGAGTTAAAAGTGTTTAAAGTAGTTGGATTAAAATTTTGGTTAAAATTGAGATTCTTTTCAATATGGTTGGACTCTAAAGGACTTTTAAAACCTGTAGGCTTCCGTTGGTAGCACGTAATGTAGAGACATGAAATGTGGAAATATGGAATGTGGAGATATGAAATGTGGAAACAAGAAATGTAAAGATAATAAATGTGGACATAAAATGTGGAGACATGAAATGTGGAGACATGAAATGTGGAGACATGAAATGTGGAGACATGAAATGTGGAGATATGAAATGTGGAGACATGAAATGTAGAGACATGAAATATGGAGACATGAAATGTGGAGACATGAAATGTGGAGACATGAAATGTGGAGACATGAAATGTATAGATATGAAATGTGGAGACATGAAATGTAGAGACATGAAATGTGGAGACATGAAATGTGGAGACATGAAATGTGGAGACATGAAATGTATAGATATGAAATGTGGAGACATGAAATGTAGAGACATGAAATGTGGAGACATGAAATGTGGAGACATGAAATGTGGAGACATGAAATGTGGAGACAAGAAATGTGGAGACAAGAAATGTAGAGAAATGAAATGTGGAGATATGAAATGTGGAGAGAAGAAATATAAAGATAATAAATTTGGACACATGAAATGTGGACACATGAAATGTGGAGATATGAAATGTGGAAACATACAATGTGGAGTGCAAGACCTCTGGCTTAAAAGCGCTGCGTCATATCATAGTTTGACAATATCCATTTCAGTTTGCACTGTATCTTAAATTTACAGCAACAACTTTACTGCAACAACTCCACTACATCAACTTCGCTGTATCAGATTTACCTCATTGACTTTACTGCATCAACTTCACTGCGTCAACTCACTGTAACAACTTTACAGAATCAATTTTATTGCATCAACTTTACTGCATCAAAATCACTGCATCAGTCTTACCTCATTGACTATAATGTGTTTTTACTGCTTCAACTTTACTGAATCAACTTTATTGCATCAACGTTGCTTCATCATCTTCAGTGCATTGGTGTCAGTGCATCAACTTTACTGTATCAACTTTACTGTATCAACTTTGCTGGTAACACTAAGAGTCGCCCCCCGACCTGATTCTCTAAAAAATATATTTTAATCTAGCGCCACTTTGTGATTTGTAATTTAACTACGTTACTCATCAACTAACATTGTTTTAACGTCACTTCATAATTTTAGCTTCATTCGTTATTTTACTCCATGTTTTGTAATTTCATAAGTTTGTAGCTTTCACCACTCATACTTTTGGCTCATTAAAATTATTTGGAGAGCAGATAAAAATGAGCCAAAGAAACTAGAAGAATATATGCAGATAAAACGGGGCAAATTATCCACAGATATATCTGCAGACGGTAACGAGAAATAGAAATAATTACAAAAAAAAGGAAGGGAGTCATGCCTCTTCAGAAATATGTTCATACAAAAGTAAACAAAGAATGTTCAGACATACGAACAACATGAATTTAAACCGACGATTCTTGACCGGTTAAAAAGTAATATCGGAACTTCTGAAATATTCACCGAAAAAATGTCAAAGAAATCGAAATGTAATTATTAAATTATTTATTATCAGTGACTCGGTAAAATTATCTCGAATTTGGTTATGAATTCGGACTGAGCAAAGAAAAGGCATATTATTACTATACCTTAGAAGATGTTGTAGCTAAGTTTAGTGTGAGCACTGTCTATTTGATATTTTGCATAATACAACTTGTGTGAATTATAGTTATAATTTTAATCTCTCGAACCGTTTTAAGAATAGTTATATACTGCAAGTCTCGTAATTAAGTTTTCGTGTTGTTGTTTTTTTACACTTTTAACCAACAAGAAGATTCATAGATAATATATCGCAAAAATTCCAATATAAACTTTTATCGCGCAAAAAGATAAACCATTACTTAAATCGTAATGCATAAGTGAAAATTTGTATTACAAATGGAACCGAAAAGTGCCAAGAAATGACCTTTACTATGATCGATTAAAGAGTAGTTGGATACCAAAAGGGCTTTTAATTAGCCTATCTATGAAGGGAAACAACCTCCGATACGATACTTAGGCTTCGCGGAGTGATTGATCAAGAAAGACAACTACTGCTCATAAATTATCAGTTGATGTTTGATGATTGTATATTCATGTTTAAAATCAATCTTCATCAACTCAACACTATTTGTCAATATGTAGGCTATTAAAAAACTTTTAAAACATTTTTTTTTTGTTTGTTTCCTGAAAAACAAGTTTAGGGTTCATGTCGCCTTTTCATCTTCTTCGTTCTTAATTTTGATGTAGGTCGGGATTTCCTCTAACACAGCTTAGCATTACGTGTCAACTTCTTATGCGCCATACATGCCCTTGACTAAGATTTATACCTGCTTTTCTTTCAGGATTACTTTCCATAGCTTTCGTCCATTCAGAAACAAACTACAAGGCATCAGGTGTTTGATTTTTGAATTTTTCTCTCCTAAATGGGTTACGGTTCCGAGCTATCGAACTCTATCCGGGGTTCGAACTCATGACATTTTGGTTAAACAACCATGAGCTTTATCGACCCGACCAAACGAGTACATACTACAATACCGGCAGTTTGACTTCAGTTTTTCCTATCAGCCCCGGATGAGCAAAGGGCTGCAACTACACGTCTTCTTTGGACCAAGTTTTGGGCAGCGCTCTGCAGTTAAGGCCCTTGCTTCTCCTTCCACTGCCCTTCTCCGGGGTTGTTGAGGTCGGTCTACTTGGTGCTTGGATGATGTTGCACCTTCGTCTAGAAAAACTTGTATCTATTTCTTATGCCAAGTTAGTGGCTAAATTGACTTTGGTTTCAAAGTTAATAAAATAGTTAATAAAAACAAAAACAAAATGTCGTTAAAATTCAAATAAATGCTGTTTTTAAATGTGGGTTCGTATAGAGCTGGTAAGTAGGTCACCAACCAGTTCTATGGCTCATGCAGCTTTTATTGAGCCGTAGAACTGGTTGGTAACCTACTTACCAGCCCTACAGTTGAAATAACATGTCTCAATAAAAATACAAAAATAATTAAGTCTACTTTAGTTAACCCTTATCGTCCCTTTATGTTGATAATACTTAAGCATATTATCTAATTTGCTAAAATTAAAAGCAATAACTATGCTAAAAATTCATACAAAATACATAAACAATTGTAAAAAATGTACAACAATTTGAATAATAAAAATGGATCATGCAAATGATGTTTTACAATGTTTATTAAATTAATATTTATAAAATTTGAAAAAAATTATAATTTTGTAATGATACACGCAAGCTTTATTTGTAAATTCATTCAGCCGGATGGCAAAAGACAAACAAAATTTCATTTTAATAAACATAGTTAATGGAAAAAAAATGGTAATTTTCTTTAGTGCGTGTTTATTTTTAACGTTTAACGTTTTTACTAAGTAGCCGCTGGTGTAAAGAATTTAAAAATGGCCGCCGCAATTTGCCCTATAATGGCCTTGCTTAATAAACATACAGCATAAAAGTATTTTACTACAGCTGTTTTATTTTACGCACTATCTCTTTCTTATATTCAATCGCGTTCTTAACTACACTTGTGAATATACAAAGTCTATACCTACACTTCAATTTATCCCTTTTAAAGATTTGATTGTTATCTATTTTAAATATTTTGATTGATACTACCTATAATCGCTTTACTAAAAGCAGTACACAATTTTTCTAAAAGCAACACCGAATAACTGTCTTTTATAATTATCCCTAAAATAATAACATTAAAATCATGCTTCTAAAATAACCCTAAGTTAGATGAATGTTTAGTAGATGTAAATTATGAAACATAAGGAAGACAAACACATTTAGTTAAGACGATTAACTAGTCTAATGTCTTAATGATTTCAAAGAAAACAAAGCTGTTCCTACTTTAAGTTCTAAAGTAGACAAGTAACTAGTTGACCTAAATTAAGACAAACCTACATCTACTTAAAGTTCTAAAGTAGACAAATAATTAGTTGACCGAAATTTTGACAAACATGCTTCTACTTAAAGTCCTAAACTAGGACATAATTACTTTAAATTAATTATGATAAAAATGCATCTACTTTAGATTCTAAAGTAGACAAATATTGGTAGACCTAAATTAAGACAAACATGCTTCTACTAGATGTTCTAAACTAGACAAAAAGACTTAATTAGTAGACCTAAATTAAAGCAAACAGCATCTACTTTAGGTTCTAAAGTAAACTATTAATATTATTAGTAGACCTAAATGAAGACAAACATACACTTACTTAAGGTTCTAAACTAGAAATTAATTAGATGGTCCAATTTTAGACAAACATTCATCTACTTCGGGTTGTTAGCATGACAAAAAGAAGCACCTTACAAAGGCTGTGTGAAGGTAGAACACGTACTGAGAAAACAGGAGAGTGCTGCTAGACCGATACTAATAGCCAAGATCCAGAATATCAGCACTATATGCATTGGTCGTTTCTTTTCAAACCAACTCCTGATGACAGGGAAACATGGGCGCAGGATGTAGCTGTTGGTATTTTTTGGGGCCCTGAAATAAGTGAAGCAAGGATGAATGCTGTAGATGTTTGTATTTGACCAGGGGCGTAGTGAGGGGGGCGGGGGGCGGGGGGGGGGGGGCGGACCGCACCGGGTGACACCATTTAGGGGGGTGCCACCAAGGCAAAAAATAGAAAAATATATAGAGAAAAAATTGAGGGGGGTGCAAATCGAAAATTTGAGTGGGGGAGGGGGGGGGTATGTAAATCGAAAACTTGAGAGGGGGGGGGTGCACATCGAAAGTTTGAGGGAGGTGGTGCAAAGCGAAAACTTGAGGGGGGGTGCAAATCGAAAGTTTGAGGGGGGTGCAAATCGAAAACTTGAAAGTTTATCCCCTGGAAGGGTCGCTACGCCTCTGAGGGGTGACACCATTAAGTGCCGCACCGGGTGACACCCGACCTCGCTACGCCACTGTATTTGATATAGGACAACAAGTTATAGAAAGGATTATTGGTGAGGGGATGTTAGGGAGTTGTAGAGATTTTGGAGGTTTGTATATGTGAGGATAGTTTTTTTTTAGGAAAGTGTCAGAATATTGTAGTTTTTTTAGGGAGACTTGAGAATCTGTTGGTTTTCTAAGGGATGCGTCAGAATTATTGGTTTTTTAAGGGATGCGTCAGAATTGTTGGTTTTTTAAGGGATGCGTCCGAATATGTTGGTTTTATAAGGGATGCGTCAGAATTAATGGTTTTTCTAAGGGATGCGTCAGAGTATGTTGGTTTTCTAAGGGATGCGTCAGAATATGTTGGTTTTCTAATGGATGCGTCAGAATTGTTGGTTTTTTTAAGGGATGCGTCAGAATATGTTGGTTTTATAAGGGATGCGTCAGAATTAATGGTTTTTCTAAGGGATGCGTCAGAATATGTTGGTTTTCTAAGGGATGCGTCAGAATATGTTGGTTTTCTAATGGATGCGTCAGAATTGTTGGTTTTTTTTAAGGGATGCGTCAGAATATGTTGGTTTTCTAAGGGATGCGTTAGAATTGTTGGTTTTTCTAAGGGATGCGTCAGAATTGTTGGTTTTTTTAAGGGATGCGTCAGAATATTTTTGTTTTCTAAGGGATAGGTCAGAATTGTTGGTTTTTCTAAGGGATGCGTCTGAATTGCTCGTTTTTTTAGGGTATGCGTCAGAATTGTTGGTTTTTTTAAGGGATGCGTCAGAATATGTTAGTTTTCTAAGGGATGCGTCAGAATTAATGGTTTTTCTAAGGGATGCGTCAGAATTGTTGGTTTTTCTAAGGGAAACGTCAGAATTGTTGGTTTTTTAAGGGATGCGTCAGAATTGTTGGTTTTTTAAGGGATGCGTCAGAATTGTTGGTTTTTCTAAGGGATGCGTCAGAATTGTTGGTTTCCTAAGGAAGGCGTCAGATTTTGTTGGTTCTAATCGATACATAAATATACTTTGATGTTTGAATGCCAGCGTTGGGTTTGTTATACACAGAAGGCGACATAGTTTTTAGGTTTTCTAAACGAAGGGCTAAAAGAAACACTTCGGCACCGAATCGAGAAGATCCAATCTAAGTTCTACCGAAAGTAGGTTCCAGAGGCGTAGCGGGGTGGGGGGGGGGGAGACACATGTCCCCGGGCGCCGATCTTAGGGGTTGGAAAATGGGTTGGAAAAATAAATTGAATGGTTGAGAGGGGGTGCAAATCGAAATCTTGAGGGGGGGGGGGGTGCAAAGCGAAATCTTGAGGAGGGGGGGGGGGAGTGCAAAGCGAAAGTTTGATGAGGGGGAGGGGTGCAAATCGAAATCTTGAAAGGGGCGCAAATCGAAAGTTTGTCCCCGGGCGCCGGGAAGGGTCGCTACGCCTCTGGCAGGTTATGCGGTTGCTTTGAGTCGGCAATCTTCATTGTTTTTAAAACTGCAATGCGAAAACAAAGCTTACTGTATTTACTTAAACGTACTTACATAGTGCAGCTTGTTATGTTATGAGCCGATGGGCGTGCATCCTGGTAGGCGATACAGCAAGAAGGGGGGACAATCAGGCGGTTTCTCCGCCCCTGCCACAAATAGGCGAAGTCCCTGTAGTTGGTGTAGTTGGTGATTCCACAGCATTGCAGTTGTGCCTAGGATGGGATGGTTTATTTGTGATCGTCAACGTGATATAAAAGTGATCGCCAACATATAAGTGATCGCCAACATATAAGTGATCGTCAACCTTCTGTGTGCGTGATCGTGAAGTTAGTGTATAAGTGATCGCCAACATATAAGTGATCGTCAACCTTCTGTGTGCGTGATCGTGAAGTTAGTGTATAAGTGATCGTCAACATATAAGTGATCGTCAACCTTCTGTGTGCGTGATCGTGAAGTTAGTGTATAAGTGATCGTCAACATATAAGTGATCGTCAACCTTCTGTGTGCGTGATCGTGAAGTTAGTGTATAAGTGATCGTCAACATGATATATAAGTAATCATTAACATAATATTGTGGTTCTAACCACCAGGGGTTCGATCGAACCCAGGGTTTATAGTAAGAAGGGTTTGGTGAATGCGCTATTGAAGCTGGGGGGGGGGGTTCGGTACCTCAAAATCAGATTAAGAACTACTGCAGTGGCGTAGAGAGAGAGGGGGAGCGGACATATGTCCCCGGGCGCCGACCTTAGGGGGGGGCGCCAAATTGAAAGTTTGGGGGGTGCAAATGAAAAAGTACGAGGGGGGGGGTGCAAATCGAAAGTTTGAGGGGGGGGGGGTGCAAATGAAAAGTTCCATGGGGGGTGCTAATCGAGTTTGTCCCCGGGCGCCGGGAAGGGTCGCTGCGCCTCTGAACTACTGATATATATATATATTTTTTATACGAGATCGCCGACATAGTATTTAGCGGATCCTTTGATTATCACACATCCGCTTACCTACATACACAATCGTGGGTTCGTTAGTTAATTAATAATTAATTGATTGATTTACGAATTAATTAATTCACGAATTAGTTAATTAATTAATTCGTGATTTAATTCTTTCATTAATTCGCTCGTTCGTTCTTCGTTCGTTCACTCATCCATCCATCCATTCATGAATTAATTTATTCATTAATTTATTCCGTCATTCATTCAACCATTTCTTTTTCTATCCATTTGATCTGCCTCCCTGTACCCCCTTATAGCCTGTATCCCATTATGGCGCCACCTCTGGTTACTTGCCTGGAGCTTATCCATACCATTTGTGATACTGTTGTTTGATACACCAGTGTATCCTACACCTAAAGCCATCAATCCAAAATCCTGGCCAAAATCTATTACATCATTCTGTGAAATATAAAACGCGTGTTTTAAATTTAAGGCCGATGCTAGACAGAACAAACTACGCATGCGCAGTTGGGAAAAAAATGACAAACAACAGATTTTCTTTAAAAAAAACAAAACAACAACATGTATTTAAATTATAGGGTTATTGTTATACTTAGGGTAATTTTAGGATTGAAGTTAGTGATTTGGTGTTAGTTAGTATCAGCAGAAAATGTTGGATTTTATTCTGTTGATGGTTTATTACAATTAACCATGTTGCCTTTAAGCGAGTTGATTTTAGCACGACACTTTAGAGTTCACTTGTATGACATCAGCGTATGTAGGGATAGTGTGGTCAACACCATGCAAAGAAGCCTTTACTGGTGTCAGGTACCCATCGAGATAGATGGATTTGTGAAGATTCAAGCCTTAAATTTGAATTCGAGAATTTCAGATTAGCAGTCGTGACGTGTATCATATTTTTGGAATAATACGGTAGTCTGTTTTGCTCGGAACTTTACTCCATAGCATGGTAATGGCATATCTAATGGCATATCTAAAGGCATATCTAAAGGCATATCTAATGGCATATCTAATGGCATATCTAATGGCATATCTAATGGCATATCTAATGGCATATCTAATGGCATATCTAATGGCATATCTAATGGCTTATATAATGGCATATATAATGGCATATCTAATGGCATATCTAATGGCTTATATAATGGCATATCTAATGGCATATCTAATGGCATATCTAATGGTGCTCACCAAATGCACACGACCACTACTCACCAAATGCATATGACCAGTACTCACTAAATGCATTAGACACTACAGTACTCACCAAATGCATGCATAAGACCAGTACTCACTAAATGCACACGACCAATACTCAACAACTGCACACGACCAGTACTCACAATACAAAAGAGCAGTATTGCGCTGACGACGAGGACGAAGAGCAGAAACGTCACAATGACGTAGGTGTACACGTACAGCAAGCAGGGTAGCCTCAGCAGGGCGCCGGCCACCCCCAGGGATCCAATGACCAGGAACACGAGTCCAAGCGACACAGAAAAACCTCCAACGAACTAAACACACACACATTAATCACATTATTATAACATGGCATTTTCCACTAACCTTAACACACACACATTAATCACATTATCATAACATGGGATTTTCCACTAACCTTAACACACACACATTAATTTTTAACCGACCTAAACGCCGGCACTGAACACATTACCACTGCGTATCACTTATTTAATGAAAATAATGTAAACTAAGTAGGAACAGATAAGTAAAATTAGCTATTAATTTAAAGTTTCAAATGTTTTTTAAATAAAAAACGCACTGTATTAAAAATTATCCCCGTGGACTTAGTAATTTGAGCATCGTCTGTTTTTTTTTTTTTTTTGGTGTTTATGGAGGAACTGTCCCCGAACACCCCCATGCCTACGCCAGGTTGCACTGATTTTAGGCGTCCATGGGGTTAATGGGGCTACCACCCCACCCCCCTTTCCAACACCCCCACTGCCACCGCCACTGATTACATTTTAAAATGGTGTTATATTTGACTGGATCCACTCAGTGACCTACCTTGGTCAAGCTCCCCATCTCCGAGGGTAGGTAATCATTGGGATTCGCACACACGCTAGCCCCCAGCCCAGTGAAGGTCAGACCGGAAAGAATGAGGACGGCGTTCAGCCCAATGAAGGCAGCCGGGATGACGCACAGAGGATTGAGCATGGCGAGGCTATTTTTAGCTCTTCACGAGTTAAAAACGGGAAGCTATCTGCCTGTGCAAGCGCGCGTGGTGATTTGAATAGCTTGCTTTGTTGTTCTTTTTAAGATGGCTTGGATGGCATAGACAACTGGCAATAAAAAAAGACATTTGAAATTTTTTTAAATATTTTAACAGTGCGCGAATTACATAAGGGAGGGAGGGGGGGCATCAATACATGATGTCACGTTTTGTTTAAGATTTTTTTACCTCCCTCCTCCACTCCGTCACACAACGTCACAAGAGGCCAGAACCCCCCTCCCACTAAAACGACGTCACAACTCTCCCAACAACAACCATCAAAATTGCAGTTGAATTTTTGTTAAACATCGATTTATTTTTCTCACATATTAACAGAGCGTGGTCAGAGTATTGTAATCAATTTCCATTTCAATTAATTAAAACAACTTTTTTTTAAACTAGAAATAACAGGAAAAAAATTCATTTTCTAACCTAACTTTTTTTTTTTTAAATATAACCATAGTGACGTCTCACTATCTGAACCACGCCTCCTCCCCCTCATCACATCGTTACAAAATTACGCTTCCCCCCCCCCCCTTTCCACCTATGAGTGTGACGTGGGTATGACGTGAGTGTTAATGGTTGTAGCATTTGAAAAGGACATTAATAGAGATACTTAGTGCAGCTCTGTATAGATACCAGCGAGATGGAGACTTCAGCACTATGTCCATTCCTAGAGTTTTGAGATCCCGCTTACATTCATCCGTGTATTTCTAGAGTTTTGAGATCTCGCTTACATTCATCCGTGTATTTCTAGAGTTTTGGGATCCCGCTTACATTCATCCGTGTATTTCTAGAGATATGAGATCTCGCTTACATCCATCCGTGTATTTCTAGAGATTTGAGATCTCGCTTACATCCATCCGTGTATTTCTAGAGATATGAGATCTCGCTTACATTCATCCGTGTATTTCTAGAGATATGAGATCTCGCTTACATCCATCCCTGTATTTCTAGAGATTTGAGATCCCGCTTACATCCATCCCTGTATTTCTAGAGATATGAGATCCCGCTTACATTCATCTCTGTATTTCTAGAGATTTGAGAACCCGATTACATTCATCCGTGTATTTCTAGAGATATGAGATCTCGCTTACATCCATCCGTGTATTTCTAGAGTTTTGAGATCTCGCTTACATTCATCTCTGTGTTAATATTATGAGCAATCTTTATGTCCCTTTCTCGAGATTTGAGATCTCGCTTACATTCATCCGTGTATTTCTAGAGATTTGAGATCTCGCTTACATTCATCCCAGTATTTCTAGAGTTTTAGATCTCGTTTACATTCCTCACATTATTAATGTCAGCAGTCTTTCACTTCAACAAGTTCCGCGCAGTTACGAAATCAAAGCCATGAAAACAATAGTTTGTTTTGCTCTAGTATAGTGCTATATAACACTGGGTGTGTATCGTCATTGTATGGCTCGTTTGTTTTGTACTGAGGTGGAAGCTGTCTTGTTTCGCCAACAGGGTTTTTCACCCTGAACATACTTCATTATCATCATCATCATTATTATTACCATTACCATCATCATCATCATCAGGGGTCGTCCAGAAATGACGTCACACTCGTAGGGGGGAGGGGGGTCGGTAATTTTGTGACGATGTGTGATGAGGGGAATGGGGGGGGGGGGGAGTTCAGATGGTGCCACGTCACACTTTTGCTTTATAGATAATTGTTAGAAAACGAATTTTAGACGTTATTTAGCGTTTTAGAAAACAGTTTTAATAAATTATAATAGGAATTGAATATTTTGACATATTTCAGACAAGATTTTGGAAAATTAATCGATGTTTAAAAGAAGTTCAACTGCAATTTTGAGGGGGGTTGTAGGCTGAGGTGTGACGTCATTTTAGGGGGGGCTGGCTTTTTGTGACGACGCGTGACGGAGGGGAGGGGGGGGGGGGTAAAAATCGTCAAAAAAGCGTGACGTCTTTTATGGATGATCCCTCATCACCATCATCATTATCATTACCATCATCATCATCATCATCACCAACATCATCATCATCATCATCACCCTCATCATTATCATTATCACAATCATCATCATCATCATCATCATCATCATCATTATCATCGTCATTCCAGTGAACCTCTTATGAAGCACAGGGACGCAACCACACCTCCCAATAGAACTCGGTTTTAGACGATTCCTCCAACTTGGGTTTATGACATTGTGGTTGATTGTGCTACACTGACAACTGATCCATGTTTTTTGTTGTTGTTTTTTTGTTTGTTGTTTTTTTTTTGCCAACCTACATTAAGCTTTTATAATTTAGTATTCCAAACTAATGCCTGTCTGGTTATGTTGTTTTGATGGTTTGCACAAGATTTGAATAGACTTAATTGTTTATTTTTTTTAGTTGCATTGTGTATTTCCTTTTTCTGAACTCCCTTCAATGTCAAAAGACAGCATTGATTCGTTAGTGTTTTATTTCTTTATTCGTGTATACTGTATACTATGTAGATCTTTAATCTCGTTTATGTTTAGACTCTTGATTTAGATTCATAGATCTAGTCAAAATTTTCTAAAGCAAGAATCTAGATGTAGATCTAGATCTAGATTTCTAGATTCTAGATCTAGACGTCTAGACTCTTATTTTATGAATATTTCATTGGTTACCACCATTAGTTAAAATGCTGGCATAGATATAACTCCCCTTTACTCAAACAAAGAGTAGAAATACTTCTTACCTTACTGAAATAAGTACAAAATCTAATTTGAATTTCAATAATCATGTTAGCAAGCTGATTTAAAGTGATAAAATGTATTTCGGTATAAAATCAGAGCCGTTTAATACGATTGTTTATCATAGTTCAATGTTCCGTCTGGTGCGAAGGTTTTTTTTGGTGTGACAGGCAAGTTTGGTGCGCAATTATTGCACATAAGAAAGTAGGCCTAAGCTATTTTTAGCTGTAGGGGTCGTTCATACTTAAATCTCAGGAGGATGTGTGTGTGTGGGGGGGGGGGGGGGGGAGTTGGGATTCAGAGTTTGTGACTGTGAGCTAAGTAAGTGAAAAGTATGTGTGTGGAGGGGGGTGTTCAAGACTTGTTACGTAGAATATATTATGATTTTATTCAGGTCAAAAAAGATAAACACAAGTCTAATCTTCCTTAGAATTATGGTAATTTTAGGAATTTTGTAAAAGTAGTTCATCTGTCGTTTTGTGACGAGTGTAAGTCTGGCCTTTTTGTTACGAGGGTTGGTCTGGCTTTTAGTGACAAGGGTCGATATGGCTTTTTGTGACAAGGGTAGGTCTGGCTTATGTGACAAGGGTGGGTCTGTCTTTTTGTGAAGACATGTAAGTATGGCTTTTGTGACAAGAGTCGATATGGCTTTTTGTGACGAGTGTAAGTCTGGCTTTTTATGACAAGGGTCGATATAGCTTTTTGTGACGAGGGTAGGTCTGGCTTTTTGTGACAAGGGTAGGTCTGGCTTTTGTGACAAGGCTCTATCTGGCTTTTTGTGACAAGGGTTGGTCTGGCTTTTTGTGACAAGGGTTGGTCTGGCTTTTTGTGACAAAGGTAGGTCTGGCTTTTTGTGACAAGGGTAGGTCTGGCTTTTTCTGACAAGGGTATGTCTGGCTTTTTGAGACAAGGGTAGGTCTGCCTTTTTGAGACAAGGGTATGTCTGCCTTTTTGAGACAAGGATAGGTCTGGCTTTTTGTGACAAGGGTAGGTCTGGCTTTTTGTGACGAGGGTTGGTCTGGCATTTTCTGACAAGGGTAGGTCTGGCCTTTTTTGACAAGGGTAGGTCTGGCTTTTTGAGACAAGGGTATGTCTGCCTTTTTGAGACAAGGGTAGGTCTGGCTTTTTCTGACAAGGGTAGGTCTGGCTTTTTGAGACAAGGGTTGGTCTGGCATTTTCTGACAAGGGTAGGTCTGGCCTTTTTTGACAAGGGTAGGTCTGGCTTTTTGAGACAAGGATATGTCTGCCTTTTTGAGACAAGGGTAGGTCTGGCTTTTTCTGACAAGGGTAGGTCTGCCTTTTTGAGACAAGGGTTGGTCTGGCTTTTTTTTTGACAAGGGTAGGTTTGGCTATTTGTGACAAGAGTAGGTCTGGCTTTTTGTGACAAGGGTAGGTCTAGCTTTTTTAGACGAGGGTTGGTCTGGCATTTTCTGACAAGGGTAGGTCTGGCTTTTTGTGACAAGGGTAGGTCTGGCTTTTTGTGAAAAGGGTAGTTCTGGCTTTTTGTGACAAGGGTAGGTCTGGCTTTTTGTGACAAGGGTAGGTCTGGCTTTTTTTTGACAAGGGTCTATCTGGCTTTTTGTGACGAGGGTTGGTCTGGCATTTTCTGACAAGGGTAGGTTTGGCTTTTTGTGACAAGGGTAGGTCTGGCTTTTTGTGACGACGTGTAGCATTAAGACGGGATGGGGGAAAAAATCGTAAGAAAAAAAAAGCAGTCACCCTGGTAACAGTTAATTAAAGTTTACAAAAAAAAACCGTACGTAGTTAATTTATCTGAACAATTTCTATTTTATATGTTATGTAATATAATAGTATCAATAAGGGGTCGTTCGCATATTACATGTCAAATGCAGTTTTCGTAAGAGGTATTGTTGTATCTTGCTACGTCTCTTAAATGTGTCATGTTTCTGCATTTCAATCGGCAGTTTGGTTTTATATATTAAATTGTATTGTTTTAAGGGAAACAACTTAAGCTTAATACAAGTTACAACGATATTCATGAGTTGATTACCCTGATTTGAAAAAACAATAGGCCTGTTTATTAGTATTTTCTTTTTTTTTTTTAAATATTGTAAATAAATAATATTTAATAGTGTAGTCAGTTGTTTATTTTTTCAAATGTTGCTTACAAAAAATATCTTTTGACTTTGTTCATGTAATTTTTTTTAAATATATATAGGCCTACAGTCTAACTATAGAGACTAGCTGTTTTCTTTTATTTTCCATAAAAGAAAAAGAAATAATTCTAATTTCTGGAATACAGATTGTTTTACAATGTTATCAAAGATATTCTATCCGCAGTAAAAAGAAATGAGATGTTTATTTTTAGCTTTACAATGATATATTTAACATAGGCAGAAACTCTATAGCTACTTCTCTGTCTACAATAAAATCCCCCATTCATCATCGTTGATCAGATTATTTGATATCAAATTTTCACCCATTTCTCCTGAACCTATTTATAAAGTACGAACCGACCCGCGGCGTATCATACGCCGCTATTTAGTTGTTTTATTTTCTACTTTTCAGTAATTCATAATTTGTAAATTCGACAGTACCAATGCTGCCACTGAAAATATTTGCTTTAAAACACTATCAGTAGGTCGTTAAGGACGATACCCCCCCTCCTTTCCCCCAACCCCTACCCTACACCCCCCCCCCCCGTGAAAGCAGCCTCCTCTTAGTTACCTCCCCTAAGATTAACATCGTTTCAAACTAAATTATCTGCCCACAATAGCCGTCACTAAACCCGGCTCTACAATTGTAAACATTTAGCTTGAACCACAGCTCACCAGACTATGTGAGGGTGGGGGTGGCAGCGATGTGCCTAGAGAGGAAGAGAGAGGGTTGCTAGGTGCGCTTACAGCTTAAATTGGTATTTTCTATTGTCTCCAAGAAGAGAATTATATATATATATATATATATATATATATATATATATATATATATATATATATATATATATATATATATATATATATATATATATATATATATATATATATATATATATATATATATATATATATATTCTTAGACACCCTTAACAATGCATTGTGAAATTAGCGTTTTAATATTTAGGCTTAGCCCTATTATATGTGTTTAACTTTAAATAAACGGCAGTTAAAAAAAAAAAACGGTCTATGAAATTGAAACGAAAAGTAAGCGCTCGGGTGGATGAATGGAATTCCGGGAGAAAAAATACAACCCATATAATACCTTATTTTTTAAATCGAAAACACACTTTCGATTAGTATGCTAATAAAAATTTTACGCACAAATAAAAGGCATTAAAAAAATAAAAGTAGACCTATTGTTAGATTCCCCAAATGATATTTAGAACAGACCTAAATAATACAGATATAGCCTTGCAAAATATAGATCTACACGGATTTAAATTGTTGCGTAACTAGCTAAAATATTGAAGTGACTAATGTTGACAATAACAAGCACGAGGAATTTGTCATATTATAACACGTAGGCCTATTTATGCTATTTTTAGAAATAAATTATATTTTAGGCCGTCCTTTAAGTTTAAAACAATATTTTAATAATTAGGTTTGAATACTTATTTTATTTAATTAATAATAGGCGTTTAATTTTAACATTATGTAAAGTATCTAGACTACATTATAATTTTAAACGAACTCGTTGTTTTTCTTCATGTTAATTACAGTCAATAGAATAAGCTACGATCCTTCGCTCATATTGTCCCGTTTAAACGGGTTGTCTTTAGGCAGTTGTTTATTATCGCGAACTCGGCACGTGATTATGATTTTCACTCGGCGTAATATATAAAAACACGTAAATGTGAATTAAAGCTAAGGCAGCCAAAACAGATACTGAATAAAGTTAGCTAATGTAGCTGTTTAAGTTCATAATACAATCGACGTTTTCGAAACATCATAAGGAATATTTCATTTGATTTATCAACATATTTTAGCACGTTGTTGTTGTGGGATTATTTTCACTGGCGTAATAGTTTTAAGAACGTGTCACATTCGTAACAGCTACCAGTCGCAAACGGATAAGAGAGAACGTCTGTGCAAGGAAACGCAGTTCATTGATTGCTAATATTATTTAGATCTAGATTATTTGTATCACTAAAGGACCTCTAGCAGATTACCAAAATCATCCGAAAATGGTTGAGGGTGGAATGAAATGTGTCAAGTACTTGTTGTTTCTGTTCAATTTAATATTTGTGGTAAGTAAACAGGCCTCTAGTCGAATCTAAACAAATCACTGTTATTTTTTTCGTGTTGCCTGTTCCTGTAATCAACTGTACTGTAGGCCTACTGTAGATCTACTTTAATCATACTTTAACTGGAGACTTAAACTTAAATGGTATCAAAGCCACTGACTGAGATTGAACTTTATTCTTTGCCATTTTACTGTAGATCAAGATCTGGCAATTGTCAATACTCGTAGCTCTACTATACTGCTGCTATGTTACTATAGATCTAGAATCTAGATTCTAGATTTCTAGTCTAGAAAAGAATAGATCCTAAACATTACTAAACAAGAAAAATGACCCGTTGAGGAAGGATACAACAGGCGCTAGATTGATAGTGCTATTTTCTCTGAACTAAAACCAAAACAAAATTCACCATCTTAATTCAATTTAAACAGAAACAAAAAATGACAGAAAAGATTTTTATCCAGAATTGGTACTTTAATTTATACAAAATATAGTCATAGGCATATCCCTAAACCATGCACCTAATCTCATTCATGACAAAAGTCGCATTTAGTTTCTTTCAGGCAACTCTACTTGGGAGGAGGGGGCTCCCCCCCCCCCCCCCCCAACACACCCCAAAATATGTCTACCGTCCCATTCAACGAAATATAATTATATACTTTTTCCAGTGTCCGCCCCCTCCCAGAAAATTCTACCCCCGCCCCCCCAAAAAATTCAACTACCCCCACCCCTCGCCGGGGAGGAAAAAGTCTGAAAGAAACACTGGTCGCATTTGTAGATCATACAAACTAAAGGAAGAACCTGGGAGGGGCTTTGCCCCTACCGCAAGAGATGCATGAAAACTGCACGCTAAACACTTTTTAGATTACAAAAAGTTCCCCCCCTCTGGGGAGGAAAAAGTCTGAAAGAAACACTGGTGTTGCGCTTAGCCACTACCCGAAGAATTGCATGAAAGAAACTGCAAGCAGACCACTTTTTAGATTAGACACATTAATTAGGCGGTAATTTTATTATAGAGTTTGGATGAAGACATTTCTTTTGAGTTGGGGAGGGGGGGGGGGGGCTCAGACGTTTTTACGTGGGTGGTGGGGGGGCTTCGCCCCTACCCGAAGAATTGTATGAAAGAAACTCTTCACACAAACCACTTAGATTAGACAAAATTGGCTTTTTTATTCAATGTTCACTCGAGAATCAATGACGTCATATTACTGTGTGTACGTCATATTTCATTTTCGTTTAACTATGCATGTTTTTAATTTGCTTGTGTTTTCTCTATAGCGTTCTTGTCAGATAGATACACAGACAGATACATACACAGACAGCGAAACTATAATTATAGTCTGAAGTAAATGATTAGGCTTAGGTTAGGGGTTAGGCCTATTCAATTGCCTATTAATAAATTATTTCTAAGTTATTGAATAAGGCCCACTACTGTGGCCTAGTATCTAGAATAGATAGATCTAGATCTACTGGATTCTAGATGTAGAATCTTAAAACTATCAGCCCCATAGTAAAATCATAGATCTAGTTATTAGACCACCATTTAGATTAGATTTAGATCTAGATAATCTCGCCAAATCTAAAATGTAGGCTACTCAATTTTCAATTTAAACATGACCACTGAAGAATAATCCATATTTAATCCATTAGGCAGTAATTTTGAGGTTTTTAGTTTTTGTTTTAAACTAAATTACTTTGGCTACACTAATGTAATATTTATTGTCACTCGGATGATTATGGAATCATCTTTAAAAAAGGTGTTGGGTTGTTAGTAGTTAGTAGTATTGTAATCTCGACTAATTTTATGGTAAGAAATTAGGGTTAGGCGTATGGTAGGACCAGGGTTTGGGTTAGGGTTAGGGACAGGGTTAGCATTGACATTAGCCAGCCATGTGTGGATTCAGTTAACTACCAGTAACCTAACACCCCTTTTTTAAAGATTCTATTATTGGACACCGGTATAAACGTTCTCCCGACTTTTTAATTGGCTATGCATCAGAGTTCCTCACTAGTTATCAACCAAATAGGGGCCTAAAATGGTTTTTTAAAAAATAAGAATAATTCGGGTGTGACATGAGAGCCAATCTTATAAAAGAAATGCTCACAATTTTTAATGTCGAATGATTATAGATTCCGGTGTCCGATAATGGAATCTTCATTAAAAAGGGGTGTATTTAGTCTATAAGTAATAAGTATTTAGTTTATAAGTAACCTAACACCCCTTTTTTTAAAGAAGATTCCATTATCGGACACTGTTGTAAACATTCTCCCTTAATTTCTTTTTTCATGAACTGATAAAACTATTCGCTCATTTTTGTACCTACTCCGTTCTTTTAAAAGTTCTATTGATTTTAACCCTTAAAGCGCTCAGCTGGTTTTCAGGAAGTGCATTAAAAAATGGGATCAAAATGGCAATGTTTACAAATTTTGATACCCCCTTTTAATTTTACCATTTTAAATTGTGATCTATACATTATAGACCTATGAACCCATAAATTAATGGAAAGCTTAAATAATAAAGAATATGAAAACACATTAACTATAAACATAAAAACAAAATAGTAAAAATTTAAGAAAAATGAAATACAAACCATTTTTTTTACCAACGCAAATAATTTTAATTCCTTGAATAAAGTACACATAAATTTTCAAAAACAAACACCACAATCTAAAAAACAAAGTACCAAAACCAGCACATATATATCCTTGATAAGAAATCACACACTAGTAGTAACTACAGGGTCCTATGGTATTTGGCAAAGCATTCCGGACACAGCCCAACATTGCAACCAGAACACTCCCACCCACTTCTGACTCTTGCAGAATGACCTGCAATACACTGTCTTTTTTTGCACACTTGTAGTTTCACTAAGTCATGGCCATCTAGTGGATGACTGGAAGCAGAAGGCACTGGGGAATTAACACCATTTCTGGTGGTTGATATTTCCTCCCTTGTCCGTTTGCGACGAGCAATTTTTTTCTGGTGTGAATTTAGAGAACAGGCTCTCCAAAACAGAAATGATAAAATTGCACCTAGAAAGCACAGGCTTGTCTGTAGTATTCAGCTTGTATAAGATATGGCTGTTTAGCAAAGCTCTACCTAACAAGGAGAAGAATACTTTATTTGTCCATTTGAGGGTTCGACGTTAAGCCAGGTACATAGTTATTTTTTAAATGTGCAGGGAACCATGGTGTTTCTTGGCTATGGTGGCAGGTGTCCCAATAACAGGGTTCGTACGCAGTCTGGAAAGTCTGGAAAAAGTCTTGAATTTAGAAAAGTGAATTTAAGACTTACAAAAGTCTGGAAAATCGCTAGTTTTTGGGCTGGATTTTTTAAAAGTCTGGAAAAAGTCTGGAATCCAGTTTTAGAAACAAAACTCCGAAGTCCATATTTTCCAAGTTAAAAAATTGCTATTTTTAGGTGAAATTACTCCAATTTTTTTCACTGTTGTGACTTTTTTTGCTGGTTTGCAGAAAAAAACGGATGCTCAGATACTACGTCTTTGGAAGAGGAGGGGAAGGGAGGGAAGAGATATTTTGTGTTGCGACTGACCGTGTGAATGTGTTACAAGTATTTAAAATTGTCATTTAAATTTATAGAAAGAATGATCGCCTTCAGAATTGTTAGGCTCTCGATTTTACCCGCTATTTTTCATTGTCAAGTTTGCACGCAGACAGTCATAACAAAAAAATTATGTGGGAGGGGTATGAATGGTAGTTTAGATATAATTTAATTGTCTCTGAGTGTTATGCTCAGTTGACGTCTTTCTGTTGGGAACTAGCCATAACACAATTAAACACAGAGTCCAACGTTCATTGATCACAATAAAATATAATCTTTTTAAGTACAACCGAGAAACACAGATAACCTTCAACTACAAAAACACTCCTCCTTCTTAAGACAAACTCAGGTTACGCTCTGCTGACCACACACTGCTTACACACGTCTTTTTCTCGCTGGCACACCACTTACAAGGATTTTAACCCCCCCCCCCCCCCTCCCCCTTCCACACGCGTTCACTTACTTTGGGTTAATATTAACATTTATAAGATTAATAAGTCGCGAGGCCTCCTTGGGTTCATACCCGAGGCCTCCTTGGGTTCATACCCGTATTTCTGTTTGCTTCAGTCGTCCATAAATGACGTCACACTCGGAAAAGTCGGAAGGAGGGTTTCAGAAAGTTTGACGACACGCTCCTTGCAATAATGTTAGGGTAGATATAAATACCGTGTTTTCTTTACACGCTGGGATGGTTTTTTAAACACAAGCATAGATTTCAATGCTGAAGATTAAAGCTAGACTACCCCGCCCCTTCTTGTAACTACGGTCACTTGTGTGAACTCACCGTGACCCCAAGTTTGTAGTTGGTACTGCTGGGTAATGAGGGTGGGGGGTATAAGTCACATCTCAGTTCATGTTATGACGTATTAAACAGGCATACTGAAGCCTAGACCACTATGACCTCACAATGACCTCTTCACCGTGTCTTGTGGTTGTGGGGGGGGGGGGGGGAAGGGGGGAGGAGGATACCGGCATTTTTTTTTATTGCAGACCCGTTCCTCAGCTATAAGTAGTATAAGTGTATAAGCTTAAACAGTGAGTGATGTGGTTACAACCTGCAGAATGTTTTTTTTTTTTTTTTGCTCCAATTTTTTTCTTTACAAGTAGCCTATATTAGGCTACTTAACAAGAGCAGGCCTAAATTAATACATTACGTAAGTATTCTTTAAAGTAATTAACTCTCACTATTATGCAATACCATTTTAATGATAGTTTAATTGAAAACATAAGCAATTTGATCATGAACAGATTACATAAGTCTAATGTTTAAAACAAAATAGCTGCATCATTTTAATCAATTATTTTAATTGTTAAAACTTTAGGTGGAGTTGAGTAGGCAAACTTAGAAAAGTGATTTTCTGTCAATTTGGCTAAAGAAAGTTCAATATAAATATATCTCAACTGCCTAAAATAAATGTCAATTTAGTACAAGTAATTATGAGAGTACAAATGGTGCATCATTTTATAAATTATTCGCGAGCACATTATCTGTATTAAGTCTGGAATTTTTCCAAAAAAGTCTGGAAAATGTCTGGGAAAAGTCTGGAATTTCATTTTGAAAAAGTAATACGAACCCTGCAATAAGCATTGGAATTGGGCTTTTGATTTAAGCCCATGTTCAGGACCACAGCAAGAAAGGCCCTAAATTCAGCTAGGGTGAGTGGAGTCAATTTGTGGACTCTTGATCGGGGAATGATGTCATAACTTCTCTTTGTTGCTCTCGATGAACTCGCTAGCGTAGCAGTTGGTCTCAGCTATGATAACATTGGTAAGCTCTGCTGTTAAAAACAGATCCAAGTATTCAACAGGCTTAGCATTAGCAGCTGGTTTATGCTTGTGTCCTGAATTGGCTGTAAACAGGATAGGTCTAGGGCCACAATCCTCTCCAACAATAGGCTGCCAATGTCCATCAGCTGTAAGAGATTCCCTGCCCACTGAATCTGAAAAATAGATTAAATTTATAATTAGAACCTATTTATTTATTTTTTAATAATTTTATTGACTTCATTTACATTTGTTTACCTAAATAGTTGATATATTTAATAGAGATCTAGATATTCATTCATAAATTTTTAAACAGTATCTACCTAAAGAGGTGGGCGTGGCACTTCAAGCACCCACACCCTTACAGTAAAAATAAAATAATGTAATAATTTTTCTGACACTAGATCTACTTTCACTTTATTTTTAAAATTCATCACCAAGCTGAAGAGAAAGTATTTGTATTTATTAAATTCGAACACTTACCATACAAATCATCTAAAACGCTGCTATCAAAGTCATCATCAGTCTCAATTATGTTCTTGAGTCCACTTCACTGTCACTAGTGTCACTTGAGTCGCTGTCCATTATTATTTGTAAAAAACTTAGCTTTCACAGTACAAACACTAAACCACGATGTTTGAAATCGGAAATGGCGAAAGTAATCGTGTCTAATTGCCGAGTATTTACGAAAAATACGGCCGCAAACACACGAAACCACGATCGTGGCCTTACGCGTTATACGTTCTGTTATAGCAAAGCCACGATCGTGGCCGGGCGCGCTTTAAGGGTTAAGGAAACCAACTTTTAACTTAAACTTCCATTCTCCAAACCAAATTTTAAAATGCTTTTCTGGCATATATAGCCCTGTCACCTATAGCCTGTAGTTTATTTTAATGCATAAAGTCGGCATTATGCTCGTGGTAAACATTTTTTAAAGTAATTCAAGAGAAGGTCACTGGAACTAAGACAAAAAAATTGTTGGAAGTCATGGGTCCGGTGTTGACGCCATGTTGTTAGCAACAGGTAAGCGAGCAGTACTACCCATACAAATGCTACCAGATTACTAATCAGTACTAGATCTAATTATTCTAATACTAACCTGATTCTCTAATACTAGCCTGATTACTCGTAGATTAGAAATGCTAAAAATGACTAAGATCAAGATCTACTTCACATTTAATCCTAGATTAGACCTAAGCCCTAATTCAATTAATGAATCAATTGACATTAGGAATAAGCCTCAATTTAACTCTAAATATAAAAAATAGGCCAGGACAAACTTTATTTTTGGACATGACTAAGTTTAAAATCTATTTAATTTGCATATATCTATCAATAGTAGAAATGATTTACATTCATTTCATATTATCTTAGTGACACTTTTTGTTGGTTTTGATTTCTATTAAATTTTAAAAATTAAAATGAGGACTTAACTTCACAAAAGTGCCACAAGCAAAAAAAATAAAATTGTACTGACAATTGCAACCTTATGAATCTTATTTAACTGATTAGTCTTTTCTGATTTAAAGGGTTGGCAAAACTATCTTTTGATAATAATTAATAATTACTTTTTAACCTAGCTCTGCACAAAACTAGATGCTAACTCTGACAAAACTAGATGGATGTAGATTACTTGAGCTTTCAATGTTATGCAAAGTGGGCAAGCTACCAGAAAGTAGAACACAAATGTTCTTTAAATTAAAACATGAGAAAGCACTTTTAGTTTTAGTATTTTCAGTCCAAATATAGGCTTTAGTGATTGTTCTGAGTGGCATCTATCTATATATATAATTCTCTTCTTCGAGCCGTTAGAAAACAAGCTGCAAACGCTCTCCCTACCACCCCACCCCTACATGGTTTTAGTGAGCTGTGTTCACTCTAAATGTTTACAAGCAGAGCCAACAATTTTAAACGTAGGGAGGGGGGGGGGAGGGGGGGAAGGAAGGGGGGGGGTTATGGTCCTTAACGAGCTACTTATAGTGTTTTAAAGAAATATTTTCAGTGTCAGCGTTGGTACTGTCGAATTCACAAATTATGAATTATTGAAAATTAGAAACAACTAAATAGCGGCGTATGTTATGCCGCGGGCCGGCTCGTATACTATATTCTAAAATGTCTACATATACATTGGATTTAGAATAGTGTTGTTAGGGTTACTCAACTGCTAAACAAACATAGCGTTATGGTTGAACAAACGTTAGCTAAACTAAAACTTTGATACATCCCAACTAGCAATCCTGCCTGTTCTGGGATATAAAAAAAATATTTGAATATGTAATTTTTTAGTTATACTTGAGTTACTTTAATGTAATTCTGTATTATGCTAATTGGTGGTTTAAATTTTCATTTGAAGTGGCAACCAGGGTAATCAAATTTCAATGCATTCAATATGTCCCGAGCCGTTTTTGCTTCTTAGTTGCCTAATACTACTAGAATTATATTTTGATCACACAATCCCTCACATTAATACCTGCATGGATAGACCCCTATTTCCTGCTGTATTGTCAAGCATTTTTTTTATATGAACCCAAAGACAGCTAATGCAAGTTAATACCTTGAATCATCTCATGTATCATCTCATGTATTTGTTTTAGATAACAGGTCTTTTTATCTAAAACATGTTTTTTTTTTCTGCATAATATCATTTGTGTACCTAATCTGGAGTGTAGTTTTTTCAAGACCCAAGCTTGATTATTATTTAATCTTTGTAAGCAGTGTAAAAAAATAAATGGAATATTGAGAATGAAGGGGAAATAACCCTGCTTGATACCACAAACCAGGTCTATCCACACCCAACAAACCAACACCACACCTTAATGTTTGATCCTACACACTGCAGTCACACCCCACTCAACATTTGTATATGTGGATAGAAGATATAGTTATACTTATAATACTTGGTTTAAGTGCATACTCTGTATGGTTTTTCTGTTATTCTACTTTACCTTTTTCCTGTGCTTTATTCCAAATCATTAAATGTTTTAGGTGTTACTAAAATTAAGAGCCACCTTTTTAAAATTAATTTTTAACAATACTTTACTTCCTAACAATCTGAGTGATTTATGTGCAATAGAGAAAAAAAATTATGTACTAGAGAAAAAAAGCTATTGACTACTCATCTAACCAATTTAACCTTACACAACTGAACTGAATAAACAACTTTTTTGTCTACACATAATTAACAAACTCATTTGATAGACACTGTTGACATCAATATGTGCATTTATTTTCCGTGTTTCCTGTCCCCAGGTTTTGTGTATAATTGATGAAATTGTTTACTTCAGATTTTATAAAGTAGTTTTGTATGTTTCAGATTGCTGGCATTGGCTTGATAGCTGCAGGAGCCTACGTCAAGATCAAATTGACAGAGTACTATGAGTTTTTTGGCAGTAATTACATGGGACCTGGCATACTATTAATCATAGTTGGTGTTATAATTTTCCTCCTGGCTTTCTTCGGATGCTGTGGAGCTATCAAAGAGAACTATTGCCTGACCATGACTGTAAGTAACATGGCTGGATGTGTATTGATTTCATATTTCTCACGCTGTATCACAGTGTAGCACGCAGCTGTTTACATCCTGTGCTACTTAGTCTGGTCTGGAGGGGATAAGGTGTGGAGAAAAAATGTACTTACGATTTTAAGTTTTTGTTTGGGGATAAAAATGTAGAGAAATTAGGTTTGAATGGTCCTGTTTTGAAACGTGATGATATTCATCACTAGGTTATCTTGTACATGAGTTAGTTACATTATTAATAGTTATTTAAACCTATTTTTAAAAGTAATTTAAGTGAAGTGCACTATTTAAATTCATAGTCCAAGTGTTGACATATGTGTATTACAAATAGTTGTTTTTAACTAAAGATAAAACACCTGTTATGAAGCACCTGCTTTATAGTTGTTGTTCACATGGAATGCATGAGAAAAGGGAAGATCAACTAACTTTATGACATGTTCATTGCTTGTCCAGTTAGACTGGTGAAACTGGAACTAAAAAGATCACAGATTTATACATTATTCTTAACTGATTTATACACTTTACATATATCTTGCCAGAAAATAGTATTCACAATTGAACTGCATAAGTTTACATGGGGTTTAGGCTTCTGGCAACACAGTAGTTCATCTTTATTTGCTGCACAAGGTACTGACTTTAGTGTGTCAGGTGCAAGTTCAGAATATTTTCGTAAATATAGATGATTAGTCAGTAACAAATATAAGCAGGGGCAGATATAGATGAAAACTTTTGACGAGTTGTTTCCAAACTTGTCATTTTGCTTTATTTTGGAAAATTTTAGTGCTTTACAAGATTAAAATAGATACCCTTTCATTCTGCTTCATTTAACACCTCCCTTGACAAATATGATCTTCTGGACCTTGGTTGTCCCTTTCTAATCCTATAAAATATATACTTTTAACCGAAAAGTACTATGTAACCATAAATCTTAATGCACTATGCCTCAAATGAGTGATCAGTGTATGGTAGAATGTGTTTGAAGCTAGGAAATGAAGTAACATGATTTGCTGATGGTATGGCTACACAGCAAGCCTGGTGTTTTAAGCAGATATTTCAGAGCAGGTGGTTGACAGGTTGGTTTTTTTACTTTCTCGTATACAGAGTATAGAGAAAGTTTTGTAATCATGCAAAAAAAACAAACAATAGAAATTTTTGCAAATCTTGCCATTTTACACCTCCCTGAATCAGAAAAAAAATAGTTTTGCAATCTTCTATGTGTCTGTGAACACCATAACTTGAGTACCGTTACAGCTAGGTTGATGAGATTTCATATACAAGTATTATATCGAATTTGTAGTTGTGTATAAACTTTTCAGCAATTACGATTTTCCGGAAGTGGAACTTTTTCTACTTTCAATTTTGCAAAAGCCTATAACTTGAGTACTCTTTCAGATAGATAAATTAAATTTCACTTGTAATTAAAAAATCTAATTCTCTACCTTCTATCAAATTTTGAGCAATTTCCGTTAACTGGAAGTAATATATGCTATTTCCGATTTCTCAAAACGCATATGAATTTATAATATTCCGCACTATTATACACATTTATTTTTCAGCATTCACTTGTTGCGCTATTCTTTTTTCTATGAGATTCCATTCTATTTTAAAAAGTTTAATTATTTTAAATGGATTAAAAATATTGTCTATATCATTATCCCGAGTTGCATCCCCCGTAGAATATTGAAGAAAGTTTAGGGGAGATCACTCCCGGTTTATTTATAGATGATTTAAAAAAAACCCACTACTTAGAGTGTTGCATGATGCAGAGTGAAGCAGACTTTTTCTTTTGGAACTGTTTGCAAGATTTACTAATCATTGTTGTATTGCCCTTTCATGATTTTAAAGTCATTTTTGCAATTGTTTGCAGTTTGCTGTCAGTCTTGGAATCATTTTTGTTCTTGAAATTGCGGGAGGCATTGCAGGATTTGTGCTAAGGGATGATGTAAGTACATGTTATATTGAAGGTATACTGTAAGTTTCAATTTTAACAGACAAAATATAATTGACATGTATTTACACTCTGTGACTGCTGCTACAATACTCTTAACATTCAGTCATTTCTACTGTTTATTATCAGATTGAGAATGAAATTGAAAAAGTTTTGGTTGACTCATTCAAAAGTTACAACAAGAGTAGTGGTATTCGAGACACATGGGACACTCTGCAGAAGGATGTAAGTATACTACTTTGATTTTAAGTGTGTGTTGTGATGCCTGGCTGTATGGTGTTAATCTATACTTTGTTAGTCATGTGATGCATAGCCTGAACAGTATCCACAAAGTTGAAAATAAGTGTTTGTTCAACAATTTTTCCAGTTCCATTGCTGTGGTGCTAATAACTTCAGTGACTGGCAAACCAACTTGGCATACCTTGGACAATATCCTGCATCATGCTGCAAGACTACAGGTTGTGATACAACTTTTGGTGATCAAAATCAAGCAGTATACCATGAGGTGAGTAGACAACTTAACTAGTTTAATATATCAAGAAATCCTCTTTAGAGGATTGTGTGCACCTGCACTTTATGCTGAAGTATGTGCAGCATGTGTTACAGTGGATAAAGTATGAACTCTGGTTGCCAAATTACCCCTGTTTAAAACTTCTGATAAAAAAAAACCCTAAGCGCATTTCATGTTAGAGTTGATTACTACCAGCTACTGAACAGCTTATATCTTTGCTTACAGAGGCATTTATGGCAAAGGTGAAAGGGGTGTTATTAAAAGATTGATGTATTAACATTATAAATTGCTGTGAATAGCTTACATTTTATCAGGGCCTAATTTTGTGTTAACTTGTTGCAATTTTTTAATAAAAATTGTTAGAATTGTTATGGGAAATTACATTTCTTTTCCCCCACCCGACCTAATGCTTTGGTTAACAGCTGTTTTTTTTAAAAACGGATTTTACCCCCCCCACCCCCTTTTTCTTTTTTTCTTACTTGTATCATACTTTATCTGTAAATGACCTCTTTTATTTTAGGGTTGCAGGTCAGCATTTGAGGGTTGGTTGAAGGACAAAGTTGCCATCATTGGAGGTGTTGGCATTGGTCTTGCTTTTGTTCAGGTAAAAAATTTATAGGCCTATATACTCATACATTGACTGATTGACTTTTCATTTTTGTTTATTTTGTTTATACTTATGTACTATGCTCATTGATGTAAAGATTTGTTTTATTTTACATTTTTTATTAACCATGCTGTTTTATTTGTCATTGTAGGTTGTAGGAATCTTATTTGCCTGTTGCCTAGCAAGAGCCATCAAAAAGGAATACGAAGTTGTCTAAGTACAGTTATGAGAAACATGGGATGAAATTACTTTTTGCTCCAAGTTTTAATTCTACAATATTGTGAGTGCTATGGCTATGATTTGTGTTGTAATATTCAAAGAAAAAAGACAATTTATTATTGAGGAAACTTGTCACTATTTACATTTGTTGTGGAAAAAAACCTTTGTAAAATTTATGTGCAAAATCTGTAGGTAGGTTTGGATAAATCTAAAACCAACATGTGATGGTTTTGTAGGCAAATTGGTAGAAATTTATATTTTATGAAATTTTTACCTTACAAAATTTAACTTTGTAGTTATTTCTATTTGTATATCTAATTGCCAAAAATCTTATAGTGCATTTTAATTTAACTTTGATAAATTTTTCATCTTTCCTTTGATTTTGGTGTATTTTAACATTTATGAAGACTACTGTCCACCATAACGTCTTTTCACCATCAGAATTGAACTATTTGGTATCAGCTGTTCACAAAGTTGGGTGATTATCTCTATAAAATATTCCAAGAATCACATTTATATTGTATCCTATTTCATGTCTTGTTTATACATTTTTTTCTGAATGATGAAACATGTACAAGAATGATGTTCTTTGATTATTTTTGTTTCTGTACATTTTTACCAATTTATTTCTGTCTTTAAACATTGATATAAATTGTTATTGAGAAGTTTAAAAACTAAAAAAATATTAATAAATGTTACTTAATTTATTTCGCTCTCTATTTTGGGGTATATTTACGGATACTTAGACTGCGGTAATACTTATGTTCCTACGGAATTCAGCTTTATTTTGACCAGCCAAAAATTGTAGTTTCACTTAATGTGAGGTGGGTGTATTCCAAGTGTAATGTCACCGGGTAAACTAGTTAGATTTTATTTCAAATTTATACAACTTTTGTGCTGTAAATTGACAATTAGTGACGTTAAAGCAAGTCGAACTTCTAATTTCCAGCAGTTTTTGTAATAGATTTTTTTTTCGCAATTGTTTACTAAACTGAAGCAATTAACTGGCCTCTGTTAAAATGTGAAGTGTTGGATTAATAAAATGGCAAGATATTTTAAGAGGCCTTCTTTAAACCAAATTTATATTTTTAGTGTTTTCAGATATCTTAGAGCTCTGCTTTTTTTTCTTCATCTAAGGGGGAGGGTTCTAAAGTAGTAGAAGTTTAAACTTTGCTGTTTCAATTGTGATGTTTATTGTAAACATTTTTTTATTGTTACACTTGTTAAGATCCCCCATTATTTCCCCATCAGTTAATGGTTTGATGTAATGTTCTACAAATTTAAAACAGCTCATGTCCAACTGATTTAGCAGGTGATTCTCAGGCCCGGCTGGAGTGCAAATGGAAGTGAATAATTAAACAAACCTCACTTTACATTTGTCGATTGCCCTACTTCTAGTGATTACATACTTGAATGTCACTTTTGACATTAACGTCACATTTGAATGTCAACTAGTCTCACCTATGAGAGTGATATTACTGCTGTCAATTTAACTTTTATTTAATAAAAAAAAATCTATGTATATGGCTTTATGATAAATCTTAAATATCTATCTTTTTTTTTAAATCTTTAAACAGCAGTGTAAAGGCATAATGTTTATTTGAATGAGGCCTTTTCAAATTTAAATAAAAATGGTCAAGTAAAAACCTGTTCCTTGTATTTTTTGCTTGTAATGTATTGTCCAGTTTAAAATTTAAAGCTGTTCCTAGAGAAGTTATTGTAGGATCAAACATTTTAAAAACCAACCTGAAATCTTCACAAAACTCACAAACTAACAAACATTTATACTGAAAATTTTAAAAGCTCAAACCACTTTGTACATTCACATCTTTAATTTTTCTTTAAAAAATATAATTAAGTTAGGGTGCGCATAGTTTAAAGCTTTATTTAGTACTTGTATCAGTATTTAATATTAATTTCCAAAAACAATAAAAAATGAAAATTCAAATTTTAAAAATATCAAAAGCTTGATTTTTATGTATAAACATAAAAAGTAAAAATTTATATGAGTTGCTGTGTAACTATTTTGTATAAACATCAGAGGTGAAAAAAAAAAGTAGTAAAAATTTTGACAAGAATTTCAGCAAGTTTGGGCTTACTAGTGTTACTTTAATGGGAGCATTTTTTAATCATTTAGATGTGTACATTTTAAAATAACTTCCTTAGTTTTTTTCATTATGTGTACAGTATGTTTATGTATTGGGATAGGTCTAGTCAAGTTGAATAACGTCTAGTATTCACATTTTGCATGAGAAACTGTATCAAGTTACTATAATTAAGACTACTGCAAATGTGATGTTGTAAAAATTATCTAAAACATAAAACGAGCTAAAACTGGTATCACAAAGGCATTTCTGAGATATAAAATATTAAGGAAAACCTGAGGCTTATGTTGACTTAACCCACTTCAAATTCTTTTTAGGCTTAAAAGTACTTCAGCCCTTGAGAAAAAAAACATTGACAAATTGTCTATATTTTTACGTGGGAGTAGAATGGTAGAATATTTTTTCTATTCTTTATATTGTAAATTCCTTGTTTAATCCTCACACATCAACCGCCGTTGGTATTATATGTGGTGGATGGTTAATTAATATTAATTTTTACTAATTGTGGTGGTAACATTCTGTTCAAGGGCAGTCATTCCGGTGGTTAGCAGTATCGGGCTTTTTCATTGGCTAAGGCCAGTCGGCGGATATTGCCGATGCAACCGGCCGAAGATTCTTGGAGATCTTCGTCTTTCGAGCCCACCATCTTGATCAATGGCTACACAAGTAGGAAAGAAAACAAAAATATTTGGTTGTAAGGGTTTCAGTAGTAAAACATTTTAGGTATAAGTACAAAAAGCCTAAAAGTGGCTTTAGAAAAAAAATTATACCAATAACAACAAATTAAGCTATAGTCATGAAGTTAAAAATTTGAGAGTAAAAAAATGTGCATAATAACAAACAATGATAGCTACATAAAAGATTTTTTTGCAGTTTTAAAAATATAAAGTGGAAGAAAAATATAGTGCATAGATATGACGAAGGCAGATGTTGTAATGGGGGCAGTGGCGTAGGCGGGGGGGGGGGTTTGGGGGGTCATAACCCCCCCCCCATAGACCCCTCGGTATAGATATATAAAGTATGAGGGGGGGGGGGTGTAAATCGAAAGTTTGAGGGGGGGGGGTGCAAATCGAAAGTTTGAGGGGGGGGGTGCAAATCGAAAGTTTGAGGGGGGGGGGGTGCAAATCGAAAGTTTGTCCCCGGGTAAAAAATGGAACCCCCCCTCCCCCTTGAGACGATCCTGGCTACGCCACTGAATGGGGGAAATCTGTCCCCACCATAACAATTATCCTGCCTACGCCATTGTTATGTCGAAAAAAACAACAACGAATATGCGAGCCAGTCAGTCCTACATGCAGTGGGCTAGACACATGGAATGTATGTACCCTGGAGCATACAGGCTTAGGCCACGTGTACTCACGCACTGCTCACGACAACATTGTCCTTATCATGACATCATAATAACATAGTCCTCATAACCACACTGGCATCATCATGGCAAAATCCTCTCAGCATCAAGACAACAACATGACAACATATTCATCAAGACAACATCTTTATCGAGACAACATCATGACAACATATTCATCAAGACAACATATTCATCAAGACAACATCTTTATCAAGACAACATCTTTATCGAGACAACACCATGACAACATATTCATCAAGACAACATATTCATGAAGACAACATCTTTATCGAGACAACATCATGACACCATATTCATCAAGACAACAACATGACAACATATTCATCAAGACAACATCTTTATCGAGACAACATCATGACAACATATTCACCAAGACAACAACATGACAACATCATCCTCACAAAATACCCCTTAACACACACACGCTACTATTTACTCAAACGTTAACATCCCGTTACCTTGACAACGCCAGCCTCGTGCATGGTGATACAATTCTCAGGGTTCTTGGACAGCTGAAACAGTGCCCTGGCTGTTGACCGGTGCACGTTCTCGTCCTTAGACTTCAGGTACCGCACAAGGGGAGCCACTGCCCTCTCTTTGCCGAAAGATATTCGGTTGTTTCCCCAGCTGCAACAGCGAGCGATGGCCTCCGCTAGGTGGCGTCTTAGTTTGTCATCCGTCTGTGAGAGGGAAAAAACAAAACAAAAACTTCATATGTAAACAATAAGGCTCTATAGTATAATAGACATTTGGATGATTGCGAGTTGGAAGTCCAAGTTCAAAGCCTGGGCCCTAAGTTGAGAAGAGCCTAATGTTGCCCATGTATTAGGACCCCTCTCTCTACACAGCTAAAGGGACAGGACAGCTTGCCATCAGCTGCCAAACTAGTGTTTCTTCCAGACTTTTTTCTACGGGGGGGGGGGGGGGGCACTTGAAATTTTCGGGGGCGGCGGACACTGTTAAAAGTGGTTCCCAGAAAGAACCGCAACGGAAAAAAGCGCAACGGAAAAAAGCGCAAATAAAAAAGCGCAACGGAAATAAGCGCACACGGAAAAAAGCGCAAAGAGAAAAAAGCGCACACAGAAAAAAGCGCAAAGAGAAAAAAGCGCAAACGGAAAAAAGCGCAAAGAGAAAAAAGCGCACACAGAAAAAAGCGCAAACAGAAAAAAGCGCAAACGGAAAAAAGCGCAAAGAGAAAAAAGCGCACACGGAAAAAAGCGCAAAGAGAAAAAAGCGCAAACAGAAAAAAGCGCAAAGAGAAAAAAGCGCACACAGAAAAAAAGCGCAAACAGAAAAAAGCGCAAACGGAAAAAAGCGCAAAGAGAAAAAAGCGCAAACGGAAAAAAGCGCAAACAGAAAAAAGCGCACACGGAAAAAAGCGCAAAGAGAAAAAAGCGCACACGGAAAAAAGCGCAAAGAGAAAAAAGCGCACACGGAAAAAAGCGCAAAGAGAAAAAAGCGCAAACAGAAAAAAGCGCAAAGAGAAAAAAGCGCACACAGAAAAAAAGCGCAAACAGAAAAAAGCGCAAACGGAAAAAAGCGCAAAGAGAAAAAAGCGCAAACGGAAAAAAGCGCAAACAGAAAAAAGCGCACACGGAAAAAAGCGCAAACGGAAAAAAACGCAAACGGAAAAAAGCGCAAACAGAAAAAAGCGCAAACGGAAAAAAGCGCAAACAGAAAAAAGCGCACACAGAAAAAAGCCCAAACAGAAAAAAGCGCAAACGGAAAAAAGCGCAAACAGAAAAAAGCGCACACAGAAAAAAGCGCAAACGGAAAAAAGCGCAAACAGAAACAGAAAAATGCGCAACCAGAAAAAAAAAAACGAAAAATGTGCAAAAGAGAAATTTAGCACAAAGACCATATGGACTAGATGACACATTTATACATGACTGTTAGGGCTGCTGTGAGAGTGTCGTGTTTGATCACGTGATCTACTACCATTTAAAGCGTACCACTACCATCTGCATTCCCATCACCACGATACAGGCGATAATCACTTTACACAATGCCTATTATTTTCTTGGTCAATAATTATTCAACTACTATTCTCGTATAAACATAAAACTATCGACATTACACGAAGTATCTTTCACATTCTCCCTAGTCCGAACTACCTAGCTTGCATACTATAACAACCCGTTCCTATGGCAAAACTTCACTCTCTTTCATCCGCGTCATCAAACATGCATTCGTCATATCTCTCGTAACAACATTCATTCGCACAAAAATAACAATTTTGTATTTAATATTTTTTCACATCATGACGCACCTACCTACCCACCTACTACCCACCTACCTACCTACCTACCTACCTACCTACCTAACTACCCACCTACCCACTTACCCACCTACCCACCTACCCGCCTACATACTTACCAAACTACCCATCAAAAAAGTATCGGCGAAGTTCGTAAGTTTCGTAAACTGTACTAGACATCTTTTTTTAAATGAACATATATATATATATATATATATATATATATATATATATATATATATATATATATATATATATATATATATATATATATATATATATATATACCGAGGGGTCTATGGGGGGGGGGTTATGTAACATATGTCAATGATGTCAACGAATGTTCATTTAAAAAAAGATGTCTAGACCCCTCGGTATATATATATATATATATATATATATATATATATATATATATATATATATATATATATATATATATATATATATATATATATATATATATATATATATATATATATATATATATATATACCGAGGGGTCTATCGGGGGGGGTTATGACCCCCCATAAACCCCCCCCCCCTGCCTACGCCACTGCATATAAGTATTCGCATAGATTTAGAGTAGCGTCCCTTTTGTTTACATGTTTTCATTACCCTTCAAACAAAAGTCTATTTTAGTTATATTGAGATTAAAGAATGTAAATAAACAGTATACACAATTCTGTAGAATAGGAACGATTGGGAGGGAAGTGACATTTAGCGCAGTAAATTTAGAGGTTAGGTAGGGTATAATAAATGGTGGGGTTAGGAAAGTTAAGGGGTCCATTCTCTAATAGGCAATCTATGTCTCTTTCGTACTTTCGTGTTGGTTTATTGTCGAACCTGTCCTCACCTCACATCACAACAGTTGGGTGACGCTTACCGTGTAATGTTAAAATAAATAGCATGTAATTGAGTTAGTTCGAAGTGAGTTTTCATACAAGCCCAACGCACTAATTAAGGTTGTCGCAAAATGTAACATATATGTAACATGTCAATGATGTCAATGAATTTTCATTAAAAAAAAGATGTCTAGTACAGTTTACGAAACTTACGAACTTCGCCGATACTTTTTTGGTGGGTAGTTTGGTAAGTATGTAGGCGGGTAGGTGGGTAGGTGGGTAAGTGGGTAGGTGGGTAGTTAGGTAGGTAGGTAGGTAGGTGGGTAGGTGGGTAGTAGGTAGGTAGGTAGGTGCGTCATGATGTGAAAAAATATTAAATACAAAATTGTTATTTTGGTGCGAATGAATGTTGTTACGAGAGATATGACGAATGCATGTTTGATGACGCGGATGAAAGAGAGTGAAGTTTTGCCATAGGAACGGGTTGTTATAGTATGCAAGCTAGGTAGTTCGGACTAGGGAGAATGTGAAAGATACTTCGTGTAATGTCGATAGTTTTATGTTTATACGAGAATAGTAGTTGAATAATTATTGACCAAGAAAATAATAGGCATTGTGTAAAGTGATTATCGCCTGTATCGTGGTGATGGGAATGCAGATGGTAGTGGTACGCTTTAAATGGTAGTAGATCACGTGATCAAACACGACACTCTCACAGCAGCCCTAACAGTCATGTATAAATGTGTCATCTAGTCCATATGGTCTTTGTGCTAAATTTCTCTTTTGCACATTTTTCGTTTTTTTTTCTGGTTGCGCATTTTTCTGTTTCTGTTTGCGCTTTTTTCCGTTTGCGCTTTTTTCTGTGTGCGCTTTTTTCTGTTTGCGCTTTTTTCCGTTTGCGCTTTTTTCTGTTTGGGCTTTTTTCTGTGTGCGCTTTTTTCTGTTTGCGCTTTTTTCCGTTTGCGCTTTTTTCTGTTTGCGCTTTTTTCCGTTTGCGTTTTTTTTCCGTTTGCGCTTTTTTCCGTGTGCGCTTTTTTTCTGTTTGCGCTTTTTTCCGTTTGCGCTTTTTTCTCTTTGCGCTTTTTTCCGTTTGCGCTTTGTTCTGTTTGCGCTTTTTTCTGTGTGCGCTTTTTTCTCTTTGCGCTTTTTTCTGTTTGCGCTTTTTTTCTGTTTGCGCTTTTTTCCGTTTGCGCTTTTTTCTCTTTGCGCTTTTTTCCGTTTGCGCTTTTTTCTGTTTGCGCTTTTTTCTGTGTGCGCTTTTTTCTCTTTGCGCTTTTTTCTGTTTGCGCTTTTTTCTCTTTGCGCTTTTTTCCGTGTGCGCTTTTTTCTCTTTGCGCTTTTTTCCGTTTGCGCTTTTTTCTGTTTGCGCTTTTTTCTGTGTGCGCTTTTTTCTCTTTGCGCTTTTTTCCGTTTGCGCTTTTTTCTCTTTGCGCTTTTTTCTGTGTGCGCTTTTTTCTCTTTGCGCTTTTTTCCGTGTGCGCTTATTTCCGTTGCGCTTTTTGATTTGCGCTTTTTTCCGTTGCGCTTTTTTCCGTTGCGGTTCTTTCCGGCCAAGACTGGAAGAAACTCTGCTGCCGACAGAAAACCAGAGTTGGTAATCCTGTTATTTCGGAGTTTTCTCTCCTAGATGAATTGTTGTACCCAGCGGAGGAGCATATTCTGGCCGAGGGTTCGAACTCGAGACTTTCGGGTTAGCAAACAAGTGTACATGCCCGACCGCTCCGACCCATGTGAACAATAATACCACAATATGTTGGCAGCAAGTCGGGCATTGTCTTTTTCCCATGGGACAAGATGGCTACTGCTTTATAACTAGAATTAACCGTTATACATTTTTCATGCAATTTTTTGTTTGTTTTTTTTTTAGCATGCAGGAAACCGTCCCAGTGATAAACACACGAGCCCATAGATCTAATATAGAAATGTTTTGTGTATTTAGTTATTTAGTATCCACAAAGAATTCATATTACAGAAACGACAGTGGTTACACACTAATCAAAACAATACTTATACCTTTAATCTTTACAATTATAGTTAAGAATATAGATAAAATTGTTAACACATAAGTTATAAAATCGATATACATCTAGCTGTTAAAAGGGCCTTTGAGCATATTATACAACGGTTTGAAGCAATACAAATAAGAATACGACAGTAGTGATAAGTAGGGTTATAAACCTTCTTTCCAAAAATAAAATCGAGAATACGTTTTGATGCTATATGGGTTTATATACAAACATTGGCAATGAAATCAAGAATACGCCGATACTGTAATATGAGCCTTTAGGGGTATTATACAAATTCATAGCAATAAAATCCAGAATACGTTTAGTTGTTACATGGGCCTAAAGGTCTCCTATACAAAGTTAAGAGCAGACACATAACACATACACCTATGCGGTAGCATGGGACGATGGACCAACCAGTGGCGTAGCGAGGGGGGTGCAGATCGCACCGGGTGACACCATTTAGGGGGTGACACCAAGGCAAAAAATAGCAAAATATATAGAGAAAAATGATGTTTTAACTTAATTAAGGGATTGATTAGAGTGTTAAATAGTCTTTTAAGAGCATGTTG